TCACTTGAAGCCAGAGGTTCTGGATTACATTCCTGGCAATGTTTTGAATGCACTCAGCTGAAGAGTCTTACACAAGAATAAAACAGGTTTCCAGTGTTTCTTGGTTATTTAACTGAGATCAGTCTTTAATGTTATCTATGAAAGCTGGTATTCAATTTTTTTTAGACAAAAGAACCTAGAAGAATGAATTACGTAAATTGTACTTTCATATTTCCAAATGAAATGAATAAAAAGGGTATTATTTTGGATTGTTTTTGTTTTTCATCAACAACATATTGTTTATTTACTAAAAACCAACAGATGAATTTGCCAAGTTGTATGGAAATGATAAACTGTTTTGGAAATAATTTCAATAAAAATAAGTTATAAGGATGAACCCCCAAATGTTCCGATACAACCGAGGGTGGGGAGAGTCAGCTTCGCATTATCAATTGCTCTCACATGACCACACTTTTACAGCCACTGACAGGGAAGTCCTACTCACTGCCTTTTCGTGAACGGGATGTTGTTTAAGAAATTGTGGGGAAAAAAGCAAATGTTCAGTTCTTTAACCTGGTTGGTGGACACAGAGACTTCACTTAGGAGAGTTGGAAAACCCTGATTCCAAACCAATGGTGCACATCGGCTCCACTATTCTGAGGGAATAAATGGTGTATCAGCCTGTTGTTAGTCACTGGCTACCATGGGACTGCATCTTCTTAGGTTGCTCCACTGCCTTGTAGATCAGACCTTCAGGCCGAAGGCTCTGGGTGTGGCCCTCTAAGAAAAGCATCTGCATCAGTCTGAACATCCGAGAAGTACCACAACCTACACACAAATCAAGTGAGTTGTGTGGCGCATTTGTATTCGGTTCCCTGTTTGTACCAATATTTATGTGTTCAAATAAATAAATAAAAATATTGAGTTATACTCTATCAGATAGTGTTGACTGGCTTGTCATCTGCGCACTGCTTTGTTTCACTTTCTCCTTCCATAACTTAATGTCTGTTTGAATAACCGAATCCCTAAAGTAAATTCATCTAACCCGTTTTTAAGGAGTTTTGTTCTATGAGCTGGATGGTTTGGTCGTGGAGCTTTTATCATTCTTCTGACTTCTATCTGAAGTTTGTGCTGATGATGTCGTTCAGAAGAACGATGAGAGCTCCACGGCCAAACCATTCAGCTCATAGAACAAAACTCCATCAAAATCATCCACCAAAGCTACAAATCTTTTCAACCATTTCATCTAACCCGTATTTGGCTTCTTATTACCGTCGTCGCACAAATAGTATTAGCCTAGTTGTAATATCCATGGCATATTCATTCATTCTTTCATATCGGAGTCAGAACAATCGGCCACTAAAATGGTAAGTTAGGCTTAAGATGATAGAGCTAAGTTAGGTAATCAAAGAAGATTGATATTCTCTTTATCAATCCTCGGCGAGATACCAGGTTTTGGATTTTAACTCATAGTTTATCTATCCATTTGGCTAACTAATATTTAGTCATTTTAACTGATGTCAGTTCATGATGAAAATCTTAATTCATCACATCAATTTATAAACCTCTTTTAACCCTAATAAGAGTAGATAGACATCATCAAGGTCACTTAAGTATCACTCATATGATAGTCTGACTAAATTCTCTTATTTTATATCATAAATTAATCATTCATAAGGCATGTTCCCTGGGTGACTATAAAAATGGCTGAAGATTTAAATGATCGTTTAGCCATATACTTACTGCTTAACACCCTTACAACTTCAATCATTTCAGCAATCCTTGTTGCTTTGATTCGTTAAAATTTGTGTATATTTATTAAAACAGAATAATAATAATATTATTATTATCATAAGCAAAGATGGATCGTGACTAGCAGTGGAATTGAGGACGCATGTTTCGTCCTAGTTGAGACTCGTCAGCTGGATGTGCGTTAATCCGAGTTAGCGTTCACCCCGGGACTCGAACCCAGTACTGTTCGCTTTAAACGCCATTGCGTTATCCACTCAGCTAAATATCAATAGAAAGATTTAAACAAACAATTCCAGATGAGTTTAAACGTCACTCTCATCGCACAAGCTAGTGGTTATCAAGACTCAGTAGCTAAGTGGATAACGTGATGACGTTTGAAGCAAACGATAATGGACTCGAGTCCAGGAGTGAATACTAAATCTGGGATGCAAGCACACACACAACGAGTCTCAAGTAGGACGAAACGCGCGTCCTGAATTCCACTGCTAGTTACCATCCGTCTTTGCTCGTAATACTTGTGACTTTGGGCAGCATCAAGGTAATCTTCACAGGATGTAAATATGCCAACAAGAAACTGATCAATTGAAGACCTAAACATCAATGGGAAGATTCAAACAATTAACACAAAATGACTAATAATATTATTGTTATTATGTTGAAATTTCTACCGTGTTATGTTATTTAGTACGCTATTGACTGTACTAGTCAGTTTGTAGATGAGACGGACGTTAATAACGCATATACATATCTTAATAGTTGAGATCATGAGTCAACTGAAGCTAGACCACCATGGAAAACCTGGAAGAACTAAACGAACACTTCGTCCTATTTTGGGACTCCTCAGCATATACATACATATATAAGTACAGTATAGGGACGAGATTAAAACAACCTCAATTAATTTCTAACTAAGTTCCAACTAATCAGAAAATAACTTCGGTAAATAGATAGTTTGTGGTAGAGGAAACAATGATATAGTGTGACTATAATTTATGGATGATATTTGAGAGATGGTTAAGTGACTATGAGAATATTCACGAGGCTTACTAGATTCAGAAGAAGGTGATAAATTAGTGTAAGGAATTAGGGATTAAGACTTCGAATTGAACGGGGAGGGGTTAGAAATTATAGGTAAGGTTTTTATCAAGAATTAATATCAGCCATAATGTCAAAGTGATAATTAGGGGTAAGGATAAACTCCACTCTCGTTCGTCATTTTAACTTAGCACATGGCAACCAACTAAGATGAAAGGGAAATAATTATTTATACTGTCGCAGTCCATAACCAAGGGCATGCTTCGTTCTCTGTCGTTTCTAATTGCAGAAACACAGAAACATAACTTTAATCACTGACTACAATACACTGAAATGACTTTACAACGGAGAGTTTAGCTCCAGCCCTAATTAATTATGTAGATGAAGGAATTTAGTGCCAAAATCTAAGACTTGATGTCTTGAATCTGATTGGTTGGTCCATATACTATAGTCTCATGCAATAATATTACAATGTCAACAATGAACTTCTACATGTTACTCTGTCTATAAATCAAAAGAACAATGACAATATAAACTCATTCTAATGAATGTAGATTGTCCGTCATCTTGAACACAGGTCAAAAGGATCCAAATAAATGTTTAAGGAGTCTATACATTGTTACTAGTTAGAATTAGGTGTTCACAGGGTAAGGATTAGGGATTTATGATTGAAGTATGAATCATGAAAGGACATCATTTATAAGATAAAAAAATACTCTACAACCATAAGAATGAATGAATTGAGAGAAAGTAACATGTTCGAGGTGATATCTGATTAGTACTTGCATAAAATAGAATACCATCAGGTTAAGATTTGTTCCAAAATCAAGGGTATGGTTTCAATTTGTCCATTATATATAATCTATAGAGAATGAATTAAGTATTTGATATGTTTATCACTATCATATTACTGTAACTCCGCTTGGAGTCCCTCCGGGGGCTACTGCCGGTCCCAAGCCCAGATAAAGAAGGAAGGTTGAGCATGGAGTTAGCGACCCCAACCCGTAGACAACTAACTCGCTAAAGAACGCTAACCAGAAAAAAATTATTCAAACCTTTTAAGCAAGGATCATCTTACTGTATAATAAAAAGAAATAGTGGCGTGACTATAATTTATGAACGGACCAATCAGATTAAAGATAGTAGATCCTGAATTTCGTCGCGGAATTCATTCATCCGTTTGGGTAAATAGAGTTTTGGCATTTTAGCTGATGTCATTTCATGATGACAGCCATAAAGCTAAATCCTAACCACTAACTATCAATGTTAAATTCTAATCTTAATTCCTCATACTGATTTATAACCTTCATTAGCCCTAGTAAGTAGATGGACGTTCTGTAGGTCACTTTACCGTCTCCTCGTGGTCATTCATAAATTATAGTGTGACCGAACATTTTACGCTATATACAACGTTACTTTCACTTCTCGCTATACATGATATTTGATTTGTGCACAAAAACATGAAGGTCATGTCCTCGATTTTGATTGCTTCTTCCCCGAATTATTATTTTTCACTCTAGATTCTTTCTAAAATCTTAGTACCTTTGTTAATTTTCCGGAAACGTTGAATTAGTTTTGATGGTTTTTGGTTCTGTGAGATGGATGGTTTGGTCGTGGAGCTTTCATTGTTCTTCTGAACAGCATCATTAGCACAATCTTCATGTAGAAGTGAAATGTTCGAATTTCTTCATACTTCACTCCTACCTGAAGTTTGTGCTAATGATGTCGTTCAGAAGAACAATGAAAGCTCCACGACCAAACCATCCATCTCACAGAACCAAACTTCAACCATACCATCCATCTGAGCTAAAAATCTTCTCCATCACCTCATAGTAAATTAATTCATTGTATAAAAGTACTATTCAAAGATCTTGTAATCAACTTTATACTTATATGTTACGCAACAACCGGCAGAAAGAACAGTATACATAATGAACACGGTTATTGTACAACTAAACTTCTTATCGTGTTATCGTAAATAGCTATAAATTATTGTTCATGCCAACATTTATCTCATCCAATAGATTGAACAAATTAGTATCCATCAGATGAAGTCATTGTGTAGGTTTATGTATGCATGTACGTGTGTGTGTGTAAGTAAGAGATAGATATAAATAGATCGGGAAGAAGAGTTAATCAAAAACAACTTGGCAACAAGAAAACTATATAGATATATATAAACAGAGATAAATTATCAAGGAATATATATAAAACATATTATCTCAACTACTTACCAGGTACATAATGTGTTGTATGATGTCCATCTATAGTGAAATTGAATCGTGCTTTATCTCGATCCATTGTAATCACATGCATTCGACCATCATTAAATATTTGTGATGGTTTACTAAGAGTGAATTCTGCACCATTGATATCGGCGTATAGTTTTCCATCACGCTGTGAGAATAATCAATAAAGGAGGGAGAGAATGATGTATAGAATTACAAAATTAATAATAGGTAAGGTACTATAAGATTGATAGAACAATGTTAGACTATCATTGAAAACCTGGAAGTGCTGGACGGCCATTTTAGCCTAATAAGGTACTCTTCAAGAATGGCCATCCACGACTCCATATGTGGAAACCGAACCAAGGACCTTCAGTATCACTCAAGAACGTTGCTCACTGCCACGGAGGAGTTCAATACTAGGATGGAACAGCCGTTGAATGTTTCCAGGTTTTCAATGGTCTAAAATTGATCCGTTCACGCTATTGGACTAAACTCAACAATCTCCATCAACACATACTGAAAATAGTTAATTAATGATAAATCTGGAGTAATAAGACATAAAACAATGACTTACAAGTCAAACGAAAGATATGAACCGAAAAATAAAGAAAGCTGACATTTCAAACGTTTAATGATCATAATGACCATATTTCCATATTCAACAATTGAAGATCATAGCCGGACAGTATTAAAGCATAAGTAAGTGACTAATGGAAAATGAAAGTGTTGCATCATCTAGTTGTTGAATATATATATTCCCAGCACGATGAATTAATCACTAAGATTTACTCTAGAATTGACAATCATCATCTTTTTGTCAGTAGTCACACATACATACACACATAGATGGTATCTCACACTATCTCTCAACTAATATTAAATATTCCATGTTTTTCATGATGGTCTAACTTCAATTGACTCATGATCTCAACTATCTCCACCAAACCCTTTCTGATACTAATCAACATATGCTCACTAATGACTGTCTCCAAGAGGTATTTCTTGGAGTTCTAGTGAGAAACAGTGACTAGTGAAGTTCAACCGGAGATAGTATGTTACTGAAGACAATGGGGGATATGTCGCTCAACTTCGTGGGTTAGTTGAAGTTAGACATTAACATCGTTGAATGCCAGCTCAACGGTCTAGTGGTTAAGCGCTCGGGTGCAAGACTGACAGGTCCTCGGCTCGAATCTCACGAAGTGGGATCGTGAATGCTCACTGTCACTAGGGTGTCCTACAACAGAACAAAATGGCCAACCAGTGCTTCCAGGTTTTCCATGTTGGTCTACCACCACTGAATTAACTACTTTTATGAATCCGGTGTTCATCTTGTTGTGTTAAAGAGGTATGGCAAATTGGACCGATACATATATGTGCCTAGTCCTACGTTGTAGCTGACTGACTGACTCATGATCTCAACTATCTCCGCAAAACCCCTTTGTATACTAATACTGAATACTATTTCCATATAGAACAACAACATTTTTATCAAACTATTTCCTTTATACTGAACTACTTCTTCATTCAATCAGACTAAAATGTGTATCCTCACATAGACACACACACTCACACACATAAAAAGTACATTCAATACATAAAGTACTTTTTATAGCCCGAATAACACAGTTATAAATGAATATCTCTATTGATAATAATAAAAAAGGTATCTGATTATGTAATAAATATGTCAAATAAGAAGAAAAAAAACTGAACAGAAAAGGACTTTAGGAAAGATTGATTTACCCTGATGTTACATAGAAATGTTTGTATCATTTTGTTTTATTCAAATGAAATTACTTAGATACTAAGATATTTATAGCTGCAAAACTACAAATAATCGATTTGAACATTGTCATATTTTCTAAATAGATTTCAACTAGACTTGATTTATTTTATAGGTTATATAGAAGCTATGGTTAGAAAACAGTTGAAAAGTATGAAACATTAGTATCGTTGGGGGGGTTCGAGCCTATAACCTTCAAGTTTCATAGTAAGTGTTTAACCTTTAAACTACCAAACAAGTATTCAATGGTTTGTAGGTTAAACTTCAATCAATTTACGATACTGAGCGAACATTTTCAAATGTCTTCAATAGGGAACTGACTCTTTTTCGATATGTCCAGTATTCTAGGTTTTCAATGATAGTTTAGGGTCGATCTATGATTTAATCTATACAGGTTAATAATGTCTACAAACTCACTATATTGAATGATTATGATGATATTGCTTTTTTTTCATCTATGGAACATTAGACGATTAACTACCTATTATTAGAATTGAAGATTGTTCACTGAATCTTTTACAGTTAAAGATCTACTGAATAAGTAGTACGTTGGTGATAGTTTACAATAATCCAGGGGTAATACAAACATTCTTGTGTTTAAATTAACAGTTTCTTACTGAAATACCAATTTTTTTTCATTTTAGTCTTTGCGATAAAGTGAGAAGAAATGGAGTCTGATCATTAAATGTTCTTCATTTACATCCACAATGAATAAATCGTTATTAGATTGAATCTATTTGTCAGTATAGGGTTGTGGAGATGGTTGAGTTTAGATTGATATCATGTACAAATCAATGTCAAATCACCACTGAAAACCTCGAAGCACTGGACTCCTGCTTTATTCCAGTATAAGACTTCTCAGTGACAGTGGGCATCTTCCAACCCACACACAGGACTCGAACTCAGGACCTTTAGTCTCACTCGTGAACGCTTAACCTCTACACTACTGATCCGGTATCTAACAATGTTAATGTCTAACTCCAACCAATCCACGATATTGCTCGACTGTCCACCATTGTCTTCGTGAGTGAAACCAAAGGACTTGGGCTCGAGTCATACGTGCGGGACCACACTGATCCATTCATGATGTCAACCTAAATCTGTCTGATCAAATATTCAATATTAAGCAACATAATTTTAGTGATGCCCTATTTTCTGATCTGAGTAGTTGAATTTCGTAGGTGTCATTATCATCCTGAATAGTATCACCAGCGTGTATTTCGTATAGAAGTGAGCTTCTTAGTGATTCCATAAGCGTTAAGTCAGTTGTTGTTGTTGTTGTTATCGTTTTCATTTGTTCTCCCACTTCTATGAACTATTTTGTTCCATTAACTTCTAACTATGTGACTGATCAAAGTTTTCTGTTTTGAGTGACATGCTAGATTTCTGCAGATGTGTGTTTCATTAGAGACTAAACTGTGAATACAATAAAAAAATTTTGAGTTTTCTCCATTTAGAACTTCGACCATTTCCCAGACATTAGTTTGTCTACGTGCATTAAAATCAATGGCAAATATATCATATCTCTTCACTGCTTCTCTATATCGGCGTATCTGCTGATTACGATGGTATCCACTTTGTTCAATGTAGTACTTTTTCACTATTGACGCAATTTAGGGGACAGTTAAACAACATCTGTGAATACATAGAAACGATATTTCAGTAACCCGTTTTAAATGTCATAACTTTCAGTATTTGTTGTCAGAAATCTTATCACATGATTTCAGGAAAGTAACAGGATTCCATCAATATTGATGATCAGACAATAGTTGATATGATAAGCAAATATGGATAGTGGTTAGCAGTGGAATCCATGATGCACGTTTCGTCCTATTTGGGACTTGTCATATGGATGAACCTGTATCACCGAGTTGATGTTCACTCTGAGATACGAACCCAGTATTGCATTATTCACTTAGCTACTGAATCCTGATAGCCGCCTGTTTGTGTAATGGGGTGAAGTTTAAGTTCACTTGATGTTGTTTACTTGTATCTTCCATTTGTTGTTTAGGGTTGCAAATGATCAATCTCTTGTTGGCATATGTGCATTGTCTACGGATTGCCTTAATGATACTGCCTTAATTTACAAGCATTCTAAACAAAGATGGATAATGGCTAGAAGTGGAATCACTAGGAAGATTCAAGTAAATAATATCAAGTGAATTTCATTATTATTATTACTATTATCTTAACGGTAACATATCTGACTATGATACTGATTATATTCTCTTTGAATATCATAAACTTCATTGAATTTCTGAAAGTTACACAGTCAATATCAACACTGAACTGTAGATGTCTATACAACTGACGAGATCGAAATAATCGGACGAAATGTCTGTTATTGATTTCACTTATTGAAAAACTTTTATAATTCACATAGAATATTGTCTAGAATTCCAAATGCCCGCCCTCCCTCTTGAAATGCTCTCACACGACCACGCGTGTACAGCCTCTGCCAGGGAAGTCTTACTCACTGCCTTCTCGTGGAGGGGGGTGTTGTCTACGAAAATGAGAGGACGAAAAGCGAATGACTGGCGCTTTAACCGGATTCCAAACCAATGGTGCACATGGGCTCCAGTATCCTGCGGCAACAAATGGCGTATGAACCAACTTTTGGTCACCGGCTACAATGGGACTGCATCTCATCGCGATGCTTCACTGCCTTGTAGATCACACCTTTAGGTCGAAGGCTCGGAGTGTGGCTCCCTAAAAAAACCACCTGCTTCAAGCAGTATCACAGCCCACACACAAATAAAGTGTGGTGCATATATATTTGATGCCTGCTTGTATGAATATTTATGTGTTCAAATAAATAAATAATAAAATAAAAATTCCTAATTGAATTGAATTTCTATTATACAGCCAGCCTACATTATTTCGAATGTTAACAAATATTTGTCTCATGAGAATATTCATTCACTTGTGTTTCCATGTGAAATCATGAAAAAGGAAACAGAAGAATGAAAGAAAGAAACAATCAGTGTAGTTTACAAATTTGTCTACTTATAAGTAGATTGTCATTATCTTAATAAAGAATAAGTGAATAGTAACCATTAGAGTCTATTTATAGACTATTATGACATATAATCCTATTTTTAACTAAATTCACTTGTATATATGCATTGTTGTTTAGGATTGTAAATGATCTATCTCTTGTTGGTATATATGTATCCTGTAAGGATTATCTCGATACCACATTAAGTCACAAGATTTATAAACAAAGATGAATGGTGGCTAGCAGTAGAATTCAAGACGAAGGTACATCTAGCTGATGAGTATTAAATAGGACGAAACGTGAGTCCTGGATACCACTGTTAGCCACCACCCATCTTTGCCTATTCAATAACTATATTATTTGTATATTTATATTCTTTTTATTTTAAAACTTAATTTGACCTATGGACTACTACTCTACGATTTACTATTATCAAGTTCAGTGAGTCAGCTGCAACGTAGGACCAGGCACATTTATATATATATATATATATATATATATATATATATATATATATATATATATATATATATATATATATATATATATATATCGGTTCAAGTTGTCATATCTCATTAGTACAACAAGATGAACACCAAAGTCATAGGATTAGTTACTCCAATGATGGTAATTTATAAAAGAAAGATTATGTCTAACGATATTATACAGAAAGGTATATAGTAATTTTGATCTCATAGTTTAAGGGAAGACAGGGAATGTATACACCTACACCACTGTGATCGATTCTAAGCCATATCACACACAGTCTCCAACCATTGATTAGGATAATCACACGGACTCCAACTAAGTAGTCTGCATCTACCATCATGGCTAAGACTAGAAGTTAGTGATTTTGTGGACTGATGCTACATTTTGGTTTGACCGCCCCTAAATTTCTTCCAACCATCTCCAACACTAGTCAGTATTGTGCGTCATGGTAATGGTTGGAGACTCTTGGTGACATGGCTCAGAATCCATCACAATGGCGTTGGTGTATACACTCTCTATCTTCCCTTGAACTAAGAGATTAAAATCGCTTCATATCTTTCTTTCTACGAACTAATTCTTTCTTCCTGTACTATATCCTTTTATGCAATCTTTCTTTTATATATTACCACCTCTGAATTAACTACTTTTATGAATCCGGTGTTCATCTTGTTGTGTTAATGAGGTATGGCAACTTGGACCGATGCATATATGTACTTGGTCTAATGTTGTAGCTGACTGACGGACTGAGTTTGGCACAATGCCAAATTCTAATTAATGAACTATATCATCTAATGAATCAATAGGTTATAAGATATTTTATAAATGAATATTATAACATTAAAATATTCTAAATGTATTATGCAATTTGTTATCATACTACTATCTTAAGTTCATCAGAAATAGTTCACTAAAGATATCACTTTTGGAATCAATCGATTAAAAAAGAAAAGGAACAAAAGATTAAACTTTTTGGTTCATTCATAGTGACCTTTTTCAATTTATAAATAGATTGGGATCTTCTATATACATTAGTCATTGAATAAAATCACATTAGTAACTATGGAATTTTTATTTTCATAAAAAGAAAAAAAAATTTTTTTTGTAAATTAATCATTTTTTTGTTTGTTCGCATGGTAACAATATACTACTAATATGATTGATAATCAATAACAAAGTCAATATAAACTTTTAGTGATTTAAATGAATTGGTAAAATATTCAATTATTTTGTGTTTTCCTTTTTTGGTCTGTTAAAAACTCCTAAACAACAATTGAAAGATTCAAGTAAAACAAATAGGTGGCTATCAGGATTCAGTAGCTAAGTGGATAATATGATAACGTTTGAAAGTGAACGATACTGGGTTCGAATCCCAGAGTGAACATTAACACTAGAATATAGATATATATCTAGCTGAAGTGTCCTAAAATGGGACGAAACTAGCATCCTGGCTTTCGTTGTTAACCACTGTCCATCTTTGCTTAGAATGCATGTGACTTAAGGTAATATCGAGGCAATACACACAGGGTGCAAATATGCTAACACAAGGCCGGTCATATGCAGTCCTAAACAACAATACGTAGATAAAAGTAAACAATATTAAGTGAATGTAAACTTCATTTCATTGCATAAGCAGATGGCTATCAGGATTCACTAGCTAAGTGGATAACATGATAGCGTTTGAAGTGAACGGTACTAGGTTTAAGTCCTAGAATTCACGTTTACTCTGGGATGTAAGAACATTCGTCTGACTAGTCCCAAATAGGACGAAACGTGCATCCTGGACTTCACTACTAGCTACCATCCATCTTTGTTTATAATCAATATATCGCTTTTGGATTAGTTTGTAAATATCATAATCAATTTTTTACAGAATAGGTTGATTGTTACTAGCTATCAATAGAACCTAGGACTAACGTCTACTACTGTTTATGACTTATCAGCTGAATGTATCTTCATTTTGACATTAATTTTCGCAATAAACACTACATTGGAGTTTAAAGCCGAATGTATTAGGTTCTTATCTTTATGTGAACATCAGAACTTGGATATAAACACATCCAGATGACAAATCCATGCTACGACAAGACACATATCTTGGATTCTACTGCTATTCTTTATCTATCTAATCTATTCAAATAAAATGGTTATATTGAAACAATCTATATGGTTTGCATAGATATACCAACACAGAATGATCAAGCTTCAGTCAACATTATCAACAATGGAATTATAATTGAAAAAGATTTAATGTCATGATAAAACTAGATTTTTAACTGCTCATTTATAAACGGACCAATCAGATTAAAGATAGCAGATTTTGGCGCGAAATTCATTCACTTATTTGTCTAAATGTTATATTGGCATTATAACTAATGTCAGTTGGTGATGAAAACCATAAATCTAATTGCTAAGCCCTAATCATCAACTGTAAATCATAATCCTAATTCCTCAAACTAATATATAACCTTTATTTAACTCTGATAAATAGGTGGATATTCCAAAGTCATTCAAGCATTGCTCAAAGATCGTCCATGAATTTAAGTCTCACCGGTTCATGGTTATCAATAAGTTACTAACTGATTATAAAGTTGGTGTTAAAAACGATTATGTAACAGTCTTTTACACGTTCAGTAAAAAGGAGATCTTTCAATCAGGTCGGTAATAATAATAATAATAATAATCTGTTTCTATACAGAATCTAAACCATATTATACCAAACAAATTGATTGACAAACCATTTGTAAAATCATTGGAACTTTGTTAATTATGCGTGATATTTACTTTCAAAGTTAAATTGATATGATCTTCTTTAAATAAATAGTTGAATTCCTGAGTCGACTACAGCTAGATCTCCTGGAAGCACTGGATGGCCATTTCGTCCTAGTATGAGATTCCTTAATGACAGTAAGCATCCACAATCCCATTCGTAGGATTCAAACCAAGGATCTATCGATCTTGTACACGAACTCTTAACTTGTAGACTCATGAATTCAACTATTAAATTATTAAAATTTACATAATCCCTCCCCACTTTCTGATCATTTCAGTATTATATCCACTTACTAAATAGACTTCATAATATGAACCATCTGTTTGTACAACACGTACAATTGGACCATCATTATACCATGTTTGAAAAGCAACTCTTAATTGATCACGATTTGTTCGATTTAATGGTTGAATTTGATAAATAACAAAAGCTCCATTATCTGGTATCTGTGGCATAAAACCACGAGATTCTAAAAAAAAATAGAGATAAAGAAAAATGTCAAATATTACATGAATCAAAATATTGAAATAAGGTTGAATGCATAGTCAGTCAATAACTCCGCATGGAGTCTCTCCGGGAGTTACTGCCGGTCCCGAGCCCGGATAAAGGAGGAGGGTTGGCCATGGGATTAGCGACCCCATCCTGTAGAAAACTAACTCGCTAAAAAACGCTAACCTGTGAATAGTCAGTCAATGGTGTGCAATGTAGAATCTGACACATTAACACTAATTCATGCTATTAAACTACAATAGAATGCTTGATTTCGAATTCCAAATACAGTACATTCGTTTGCGCTTATCTAGTACTTCTTGATCCGATTACGTTATTTCTGAGATTCTCAGTTCGTGCTATAATTCAAATACTCCTAATTATCATATTGGCGTCGGGATGGAACCTGCGATGGAACAGTTAGATATTCATTCAACTTCTGAAGCTTTTGAGGATTATTCAGAAAGGCTTGAATGCTAAAATGAAACGTAGATTTCTTGTCGATTATTCAAAGCGGGATGAGCTATATACTACTCCTGATGGTATTTTGTATTTAAATGATCGTGTTGTTATTCCTCCTTCATTCCGTAAATCTGTCCTTGAAGATCTTCGTAGTGGTCATTTAGATGTTGAGAAAATGAAGTCCTTGGGAAGGCTCACAAGTTGGTGACCAGAAATAAATGCAGATATATGTCGCGCAGAAAACAATTATGAAACGTGTCATAAGTTGAAAAATCAACTTTCGAAGTGGACTCCATAGCCAGTGTCGTCTAAGGCCTGGCAGAGAATCCATGCGGACTATTGTGATAGGTTTCTTGGCAAATACTATGCACTTGTAGTCATTGGTTCTTTTTCAAAGTGGCCTGAGGTTTTTTCACAACCTCACCAAATCCTGACTTCACAATCCAAGCATTAAGAAAGGTGTTTAGTCGAGAAGGGGTTCTCATGGTGTTAGTGACCGATACTGGCTCTTATTTTGCTGCAGATGCAGTCACTACCCGGTTGAATGATATAGGGTGCAAACATCTTTTTACTGCTCCCAGACATCTTTGTTCTAATGGTCAGGCAGAAAATTTTGTCAGGACATTGAAAACCACTATTGATTCTATTGCCGCCTCAACATTTAATGAACTGGAGAGCGGAGTAGATACTTTTCTATTGCAATATAGATATACCAGATATTCTGTGATGAAAGCGACTCCATCAAAGCTATTAAAAGGAAGAATTCTCCGGTTGAATACGAGATGTTTGGAGTCTGCAGAAGTTATATACTATCGGGAAAATGGTCTTCGACCATCCACGGGGATTGTGCTGAAGAATGTCGGGAAATTTATGGCGCGAATGATAGATATCAATGACTTAAGTACACACAACCGACATGTTGATCAAATACAATTCCAGGAACCAGGCGAGTCTGTTCCAATTTCGGCTGTTAATTCTAATGCTAATGAGTAAATTCTAAATAATACAGAGTCCTTGTTCAATACACTGCTCGACAAACGCAGGATGAACTTGAGAAGAAGACGTACAATTGGTTACAGACACCTAGATTCCAATTTAGACTGTGGCGGATGTGGTGTTTGAATGAATTAATGATTCCCTTGTACTTGTTGAATGCTTGGTTTCGAATTCCAAATACAGTACATTCGTTTGTGCTTATCTAGTACTTCTTGATCCGATTACGTTATTTCTAAAATTCTTAGTTCGTACTATAATTCAAATACTCCTGATCATCATAGACAAGTTTCAGATTAGTCAAACTAGTAGTAGTATACAGTAGTAATAGGGAGGTTTTGATGTGGAAAAAATATATATAAGGAGATTTTGGGACAAATGAAACGATTCTGAACTACCCTAGGTCTTTACCGATTGGTTACGACCCCAACCACTTAGTCTACATCTATCTAAATGGATCAAGGTAATTGTTAATGATTTTCTAATCTGATGCCACGTTTTGGTTTCGGCTCCCTTTGGTTTCTTTCAGCCTATTTCTGCATCAAACAAAATCATCCATCGAAGTAGGCACTAGTTGGGCATACGTAACACACGTTCCAAGATTCGCAATCGTATCGATTGATTCTCCATCCTTACCTGGTGTCCTCTGACTAACTATGACACTTTGAAATCCCAAAACACATCAACAGTATTGTAAGGTAATTCCCCGATATCACGAATTGCTTAGACTTAGAAATGTAAACTATCGGACGTCAACTAAGCGGACCAATGTGAACGTTTCGAAGCAATACTTGAGGGTTTTAGGTTTGACCCCCCAGTGGGATTGTGACAAGGACAAGGTAGACGTCTACTACTTTCTAGATTTCAGTAGTTGTTGAATCAACCCGTGATATAAAACTCCAAGTATTCATTTGGTTAAAACACTTATGTTCAATACATGGTGTTAGGATATTTGTTACAGCTACGAAACACAATCGCTAAAGAAATATGACGTGCATAGTTTGGTAATATGGTGGTTGAAGGTAGCCAACAGGAAATCCTGGACCCGGGTTTCGTGCTATTAGGCACTCGTCAGCAAGGTGTACCTGTAATCTTGAGGGAACTGGTGTTCCACCATCTTACCTCAACATAGTGCACGCAGTCTCGAGTCACCTAGACTAATGGCCACATTGCAACTTGATCGATAGCATTCGATCTGCACTAATAAGGACTTGACACACATAACATTGATCACCACCCAGTGATCAATCAATTGTGATAGTTTGGTAATGTCTAAACATGATTACTTTCAATATATGAAAATATCTACTTCAAAACTGTTCATTAAATGACTGTGGGTTTGATTATGTTTTATCTCATCATATAGAACAAACCATTTTCTTTTAAATGTCATTAGTTCGGTTATATAGTCCAGTCTTATTCAGAATTGGTAGACTTAAACCCTATGAGTTAGGTTACTTTTTATTTGTGAAAACCTCATTGTCTTTCTGGATAACACCATCAGCAAAACGTTCATACAGAAAAAAACTATGAGAACTGTTCCATATCAGAACTAACAACTAGTTCTAGCGACTTCAAATTTGATTGGTTGTTATTAACTATTACTCTGTTATTTTCTGCATATTTGTTTTGATAGAACAATGGTAAACAATAACCAATCAAAGTTAATGTTGACAGAAAACACAATTGATCATATGTGGGGCAATTCGCAGAGGTCACTTAAATCTGAAGTTTTTTACTGATGATGTTGTCCTGAAGGTCAGTGAATGCTTTACAAATAGGTTACTTAGGTCAGAGAGCGTAGAGCCACGAAATCTTCTATCCCGAATTGCAAGTCTTCTTCACAGTGAATCGATGTTAACATCTTATATATCCACGTTTGATATTCTGTGACCGAAGGTTCCGGATTGTGGTGACAGTCGTCAGTAACTTATGAAAATAAAGTTTCTTACATATTTATAGGCTGATTTCTTAGGATAGCCTGTTGGGGAAGCGTTAAGATTGTACAAAATTATGGAATCGAATGGTAAAGCAAAAGAACCCACTAATGTTGATATATCAGAACAAAGAATAAAGGAATAGTATTGTAATGATCATATAATCATTCAGTAACTAGATCACCATGTCTATGTATTCCATTTTTCTCAAGCTTTTGGTTGACTTATTAACTCCTTATACACGATTTACTATTCTTAAGTTGTTGCCCATCTACTATTTAGTCTCTTCTATTCACAGACACTTTTGTCTTGATCATATTTTAGTGCAGTCTGGTATTTCTGTATGTAAACTAAGTCTAAATTCACTTGACGTTGTTTTACTTGCATCTTTCCATTGTTCTTCAGGAATGCAATTGATCAGTATCATGTTGGCATATATGCATCCTGTGCGGATTGCCTCGATATAGTCTTAAATTACAAGCTTTTTTAGCAAATATGGATAGTGGCTAGCAGTGGAAACCAGGATGCGCGTTTCATCCTATTTGGGACTTGTCAGCTAGATGTGCCTGCATCCTAAGTAAATAACGCGGTGGCGTTTTAAGCGAACGTTAGTGGGTTCGAGTCCCGAAATGAACAACAAACCTGAAATGTAGGTACATCCAACTAACGAGTCACAAATAAAATAAAACGCACGTCCTTGATTCCACTGCTAGCCACTATCCATATTTATACACCAAGTCTATTTGAAATATAAACATACAGTAGACCCTGGTTACTGACTTCCGGACTCAGGAAAGAGTATAGAGAGAAGCTTACGAATTACGGAGCAATAGAAACTTAACTGTGTTGGCTCAAGGTCAACAAAGCTGATTGACCGTGTAATAGGCCAAATCAGAAACACCAAGCTATTGGGTAATTAATAGACCAAATTAGAATCAGGATTCTCAGTGAAGACTTATTACTTGATATTTGACAGTAGTCACAAGGCATAATAAATTTCCCCATCCACCCATTCAACCAACCACCCACCCACCCACGCACGCACACACGCACTAACACAGGGTGGCGCAATTTATGCAGTTATCGAAAAGTCATAGATAGTTCTATAACCCTTGTAAAAAACAAAAAAACAATTAATGACAAAACAACACTTACGTCTTTCACATCTTGCTCCATTATATGCTGTATATCGACAATCACATTTTCGTTGATAATTTTCTGCATAACATCGACCACCATTTGAACAATAATCAGCTATACATTCAGGTTGTGGTCTTGGTGGATGTATTTGAAAACCTGGTGTTGATACAATTGTCACTGTACCAGTTGATGTAACTATACGTGCATTTAAATCATCAATTGGATATCTTCCATTCCAATGTAATCCTTTAATTAATAAATTTTAAAAGATCATCTAATTATTCAAAAGAAGATTGATATAATCACTGAGTATGAACAAAACAGACATTCAACTTATAGACTGAGTTTGGCGTACGAGATCATGAATACCTACTGTCAATGACGAGTCCCATACTAGAACGAAACGGACGTCCAATGCTTTTACGCTTTCAATGGTGGTCCAATGAATTTAACTGTGAAAATACTACAATATACGAGTTCCTTTCCTATTATTGATTTTTAATCTACACTCATTGAATGTAGAGTGCTTTGTTGTAAATATGTTGGATAATTCATCATCTGGTTTATACTTTAGTTCTGTATTATTTGATCGTGAATCATGTATCTGGCATAATGTGATCTCAGTTTGTATATTCATCAAGTATCCAGTCTGATAGTAACATAATCTTGATCCCCAATTTTATATCACAGATACAGAAAATGTTTCTATTCAGCCGTCATATCACATATACGGTTACTAATATTTGTTATTATTATAAAACTAATCTTGACTGTGAGTCTGTGTTGGGGAGACTCAGAGTATTTCTCAAAAAGAAAAACCTAGAAGGCCCCTTAAAACTCTCGGAAACATTTTATCCAATCAGCATTCAATAGACGTCTCTCAGAAACATCTAAAAAGTGTCGCGTTTCTGATTGGATGACTATTTATCCTGGTATCATGTTAAGTGGGGTTCTGGAACTTTCCAGAAGTCCAACACCATGTGGAATGCTATACATACCTTCAATTTGTTTTTTACACAAACTGACTTTGAAGTAAAGCGTCCTTTCTATATTTCTTACCTTTTCTCTCAAGTTCAAATTGTCGTGTAGATTTAGCCTGGAGTTATCAGAAGAGTTTAAGAAACCAATTCAAGCGTTCAGTTAGAAGATTTATCATTTTGAGTTATTTTGATTGATGTAAACTACCTGGTTGGAGATTTAAGGTGACATAACTTAGAATCATTCATAATGGCACACATACATTCACTTTTTATCTTTCAGATCTTCATCCTCAATATTTCTTCGGTGCATACTTTTCTATTCTATCTTTTCAAACCATATTCCTAATGTTTAGGTCTTTCCTACTAACATTAGTGCTGTGTTGAACAAGAACATAAGTAGGGACAACCAAGTGTCAGTTGACTGTTATGAAGACAAAACAGTCAATAAACTTATCTTTCGGAAGCTGATCACATGGTCAATGATTGCTGGTAATTTGTCTTAGAGATAACAGAAAAAAGGATTATTTGTATTTTCTAAAGAGATAGATATTAAAGGTATCGTATTGTTGAACGAACACAACATCTCTCGAGTGACTGGTAACCATGCAAAGCCCACATAACTTCCGGACAGACTAGTTTCTTCATTCTTCTCAAGTCACATTTTCTACCTTGTCACTTATTCGCTTAATAATGATATACGAGAGTTGAAGGCATTTATATAATCCGATCACAATCAGCATACGATTTAACTGATTGATTTAAATGCCAACTAAACCTCTATAGTTTTACTGGTGTCGTCCTAATCCTGATCGATTCAACAGTATTGTAGGGTTTAACAAATAATACAAAGTTAAGGAAAGAATTCTCCGTAGAAAAGAAACAAAAATGGATCATCATGATTTAAAACAAATTTGATAATAATCGATAAAATGATTGACAAGTGGAGTGGTTGGGATCCACGAGACGATAACAACCGATGGTTAGAGACCTTGAATGTGACATGGTTCAAAATTGTTTACAATAGCGCAGATGCATCCATTTCTTGTGTTCTCCCTAATTTTAATATTCTGGATTCTTTATATCCCTTGAATAACATCTTCAAACCTTAATCTTCCCCATTACTGATTATACTTATACCACCTCTACCACTATAGGACTTAAATCGACAATTGTATCTTTGTGCTGATGTGGTATAGCAACTTGAACTGATGTACGTACGTACGTACGAAGTTCTACGTTGTTACTGACTGACTGATAATAAAGTCAATCGAACATTGGTAACAGGTAAAAGAAAAACAGTTTGCTATTAACAACCTACCTCCGATTACTCCACGGAATATATCAGATTTTTTCTCATCTACAGCTAAATGAATAGCGTTGTAAGTAAGACTATTATCATATGGATTGACTAAATCTATAAAAATAAGAAAGGAATGAATAGTTTATCATCAAATAAGAAGAGAGTATAATAGATAAGTTAAAAAGTACATTAATGTGCCCTTATTTGACATATTTGCATTCTATGAAGATTGCCTATTGTACAAACTAATGGCTATATCTAAACCCGGTAGTTTGAGTGAATAACTCAATAGTGTTCAAGGCGAATGATACTGGGTTCGATTGCTACAATGAACATCAACTGTATCTAGCTGACGAGTCTCAAATAAGACGAAACAGGCATCCTGAATTCCACTGCTAACCAACATCCATCTCTGTTTATAATCTATCAGTAAGTTTTATTCATAAGACTCGTTTCAATTTAGATCAATATGATGAACTAAAAAGTATTGAAAAGCTGTTTCATCTTAGTGAGAGACTTCGAAGTGAATACTTTGTGTTCAGTTGACTGATTTATCATCCAATGGTTCACATTGATAACTCCAGTCAAGTTGTAATATTAAGCGCTTCTCATTCGAGGATATCTCTGTCTTATTCAACACGATTTCCTCTTTACCTATTCCATCATATTACTCAATAATACGCAAATGCACAATATCTGATAGTTTCAAAACATAGCCACTGAAGGTGAAAGAGGATTGGCTGATGAGTGGTTTCCAAACTCACCCTTAGATTTTTGTTGAACAAATTGTAATATAGCTATTATTCCAAGTGACTTGACATCTCAGGAAATATGCTTCTGTGTTGACTGGTTGAAGGTAGTTGGTGGGATACATTTAGCCTTTAATTTAAGCCTGTGTCACCCAGTGTTACATTCAGAGATGTTTTGACATTGTTTTTATCAGCCCAAAGAGGACGATATCTGGGTTGAGTTCGATTAGCAATAAAAACTTTCTAAAGCAGAGATAAACGTTGACTAGCAGTGGAATCCAGGATATGAGCTTCGTTCTATTTGCGAATCGTCAGCTTGATTTATCTTCATTCCAAAGTTGATATTTACTATGGGAATTGAACTTAGTAACATCCACTTCAAACACCATCGCGTTATCCATGTAATGTCCTCGATCCCACTGATAGTCACCATCCATCTCATTTTACAATCCTTGTAACTTAATGGCAATATCGAGACAATTTACATATTGCAAAAACAGACTAATCAATAGTAGTCTCAAGTGTCAATGATTATCATTATTATTGATTCATACCTTGTAATGATAATCTTAGTACTTCACCATCTTGTGTAACAATCATTGTTCGTCCTTTACGTTCAATATTTATAATATGATAATTTCCATCATTTGAACGCATACCGAAATCATGTGTAATTTTCCCACCTGTATCAACAATGACACGACCATCACGCTATGAAAAAAAAATAATTAAACAAATTAGAAACATCAGTATACGGTTGTGGAGATTATTAAGTTTTTGATTGAGATCATGAACCGTTGGATGCAGACCAGCTCAGTGATCTAGAATTTAAGCGCTAGCGCCCGAGATTGAAGGATCTGGGTTTGAATCCCGCTAGCAGGATCATGGACGCACACTATTGAAAAGCCCCACAATAGAACGAAATAGCCATCCAGTGCTTTCAGGTTTTCAATGGAGGTCTAACATCAATTGGTTTATGATCTCAATCAAAAAAGTCAGAAACAGACTTAACGAATTGTATTGTTTATTAATAATAATTTAATAGTTGAGTTCATGAGTCAATTGAAGCTAGACCACCAAAGAAAACCTGTAAGCACTGGTTGGTCGTTTCGTCCTAGCATGGGACCCATCAGTAGTGCGCACCCACGACCCCTCCTCACAGGACTCGGGCTCAGGACCTATCGGTCTCGCGCCAGGCGCTTAACCAACTAGACCACTGAGCCGGCATCCAACTCCTCATACTAATCAACATACGCTCACTAATGACTGGCATCAAGAGGTATATCCTGGTATATCCTGGAGTGAGAAGCAATGACCAGTGGAGTTCAACTGGGTCAGTTGTGAGATAGTAATTCACTGATGACAATGGTGGATGTGTCGTTCAATTTCGTGGATTAGTTTAAGTTAGACATTAACACCGTTGGATAATAATTTAATAGTTTCGTTCATGAGTTAATTGAAGCTAGACCACCATAGAAAACCTGGATTCACTGGGTGGTCGCTTCGTCCTAGTATGGGACTCATCGGCAGTCCCGAACGTGGGACTCGAACCCAGAACCTGTCGGTCTTGCGCGTGAATTATTAACCTCTAGGCCACTCAATCGGCACCCAACGGTATTAATGTCTAACTTCAATCAATTCATGATCTCGAACAATCTTTCACTCATTATCTGAGATGAATAACTGTTTCCACCTAGGTTCGAGTTCTGCATTCGTGATTGTGGATACGCATTGCCGTTGATAATTTCTATACTAGGACGAAATGACCATCCAGTACTTCCAATTTTTCAATCATGATCTAGCTTAGATTGATTTAGTAGATTCAACTGTTTGTGAATTAAGGAGAGTATCATTGAATAGTTGAAATAATACATGAATAATAACTTACTAATTTAATAGCCCAATATTTTCCATCGGTTGTTAAAAATGTCACTAATGTACCAGAATTCATATAAGTTTTAAAACCAAATGTTACATTATCATCAACTGTACGTATAGATGGTATTAAATTATAAATAAGATAACCATCTCTTTCATATCCAATATGAATACCATGAGCACCTATAATGTATAATGTAGGAAAGAAAGAAAGAAATTAATGAAAATCATTATGAGTTGATGATGTAGTAAGTGATCAAAATAGGTTAGAACTTAAATGCTCTAGTACGATCGAGAGTGGGGAGACTTAGCTCTTCCTCTCCAAATGCTGTCATATGGCTTTGTGAATACAGCTACTGACAGGGAAGTCCTATTCACTGTCTTTTCATGGCAGGGGTGTTTGTTTACAAAATTGAGAGGAAAAAAAGAATGTCCAGCGCTTTAACTGGTTTGTTAGATATGGAGGATCCACTTAGGGGAGTTAGAAATTCCTGGTTCCAAACCAATGGCACACATGGGTTCCCGAATCCTGAAGGAACAAATGGTGAATGAATCAATAGTTGGTCACTGGCTTCTATAGGACCTCATCTCGTAACGCTGCTCCACTGTCTTGTGAACTAAACCTATAGGCCAAAGGCTTAGAGAGTGGCCTACTAAGAAAATCACTTGTTTTCGTTTAGGCACATGGAAAGTATCCCAGCTTATTAAGTACTTCACTTATTCCCTCGAAATCCCGTAATCGGTAAGCACGTTATTCGATTGATTTGTAGAATGATAAATGAGTCAACGGCTAAGTTAATATCTTATTGGCTCTAACTCCGCCTGTAGCTCTTCTAGAGTTACTGCCGGTCCCAAGCCCGGGTAAAGGAGGAGGGTTGGGCATGGGGTTACCGTCCCCATCCCGTAGAAAACTAACTCGCTAAAAAAACGCTTACCAGAAAAAGTAAGTAAGTAAGTCTAAAAGTCACAGAATTTTACCCAAAAGTTTAAGAGATAAACCATACAGCTAATCACTAATGAGAATATGGAATCATTTTTATCAATACAATGTCTAATATGATACTCTTTATAATTATCCAACGCTTGGATAGTATTCAAGAACGAAAAATTCGAGAAAATCAGGCTGATTTCAACTATACATATGAGTGTTTCGACCAGATGTTCACTCTTCGTCAGATATCAGAACATAAACATATTTGATGACCCCCCGCCACTTTAGTTGTATATCTCGACTTCAAGGTGATATTCGATCTCAAGAGTCTAGTGAACTGTTATCAAACGAAAACAACCATGAAATGACTAACTATTGACCTGAGCCATGTCTGGTTATACTCAGTGTGATAACTAAGATCAGTGGATTGAAGATATTGGATGAAAAGGCACAAAATCAATGACAATAGATTAGGTCCATTGTTCAGTTACCAAAAAACACATTGCATGGATAATTGGAAGCAGACATGAAAAGAATGAATAGCAACTGGAAATAACTGGCTAAAATTGTTCAAGACAGAGTTATATAGAGAATGCTGATGGGCGGCGTATGCTCCTCCAGGAAGGGTAACAACCGTATGTAAATAACTAAGTTGTCAAGAGATTTTCATAAAATATGTCATAACAAAGTCTTAAGTTACGTGTCCTAAATATTTTGTACATCAAATCAAGATAAATATGGTAAGCACTATGACTATTATCATAAAGATACACAGGCATTAATAAACAGTTGTCTACGTAAAATAACCCAGATCCGTTGGACGTTTGCCATCAACAACAACCTATTGTGATAGAGAACAAACCATCTTCCAGTTTAAGAAGAAATTAGGAAAACACGTTGAAGGTGAATAGGATATTTATTGCAGAAATCATTAAACTGCATTACATGCCAAGCCCTGACGGGAACTTCTCAAAATAAAGGAACAGAGGTGGACCCAAGAACACATTCCATCGAGAATCGGTGGCAGACATATAAAGAATGAATAGCGTTTGGCAACAGCTAGAAAGCAGAGCCTAGGACAAAGTAATTTTGAGGATTCTGATCGGTGCCTAATGCAACATGAAGGCTAACAAACATAAGTAAAGTAATTATTTCAATATAATCACTTACTGGAATCACATTGAGGTCCAGTTCTTGCTGTCATTGAACAGTCACATCGATAAACATTTCCAGGTAGAACTGAACAAATACCACCATTATTACAATAATTTGGTGGACATGTTATAGGCTCTGTACATGTTCGTCCACGATATCCTGTCCCAGTACAATCACATACATAACTACCACTTTTCACTGAACAAACACCATTATTTTGACAATAACCGACTGGACAAGTTTCAGGTATTTCGCATTGTGTACCTTTATAATCGGTGCCTAAACAATCACACTTTGGTATACCTCTATTCATGGTACATCTTCCACCATGTAAACAATAATCTGGTGGGCATATTTTTCTCATTTCACATTGTTCCCCTTCAAAATTCGCTGGACATGTACAATGTGGTTTATGATCTGGACCAGGGTAACATGTACCACCATTCATACAGTAATTCGATGGACATACTTCAATTTCACATCGCGGTCCTCTATATCCTGGATAGCAATCACATGTAGGATTTCTTTGACGCACAACACAAATACCATGTCCAGTACAATAATTTGGTGGACATAATGGTATATTACATGTAGGACCAGCATAATTAGTTCTGGAACAATCACATGTTGGACGATCATCAGGACCTACTTTACATTCACCATAATTTTCACAATAATTAACAGGACATATACGAGTTTCACAACGTGTTCCAGTGTAACCAGTTCCACGACAATTACATACTGGTTGTTGCGTACGTGGATCTACTGTGCATACACCTCCATAACCACAATAACCTGGTGTACAAATCGATTCAAGACATCTTGGTCCAGTGAAACCAGTTCCTTTACAATCACAAGCAGCAACTGAACCAATCATATAACATCGTCCATTATTATGACAATATGTTCCACTACTACATGGACTAATTTCACACATTGTTCCAGTATAACCTGTATTAGAACAATCACATATTGGTTGACCATTAACTATTTTACATCGTCCATTATTTTTACAATAACCTGGTGGACATTCAGTGATTGGATTTGAGCATCTAGGTCCTTCATGACCAGTTCCACTGCATATACATTGAACTTCATTATCCGATATTTGTCGACATAATCCACCATGATGACAATAAGATGGTGTACATCGTTTTAAATCTATAAATAAAGATAGTGAAAACAGAAAACAATTTTACATTTTATAGCGATGAAAGTATACTACTTATTAGTAGCTCAAATTATTTTAAAAAACGTTTTGACTTTGTACAAAATTGTACAAAAATCTAATCGATTATTTTGTTTAATCAATCTATTGGTACTCAGATGAATCACTGACATCGTCATAACCAAGGAATAATGGAGAGACTATAACTTATGGATGAGCTAATCAGAAGCATTAGGAAGATGTCAAGGTTCAGTACATGATGCTCATGTACGGTCGGTTTACAGCGGAGTTTAGAGATATGATAATTAAGCGGCTATAACAGATGGGATTACTAAAAAGTTCCTTTATTTGTGACTGCAGTATTCCTTAATTATTTAAGTTGATTTACAATAATTAAAACGTTATTTTTATTCTATTGAACACAGATTTTCTTAATAATTCAGTAGTATAACGCAGTTATTCGTAAAACTCTACTCTTCATCATTGACTGTTATATATTCCTGTTCAATTGTTAACTGGCCTAAGTGATCAAAATATGTTTCGATGTAACAAAAAGTAACAACACTACAAGCAGAGACGGATGGTACCTAGCATGGAATCCAAGACAAGCACTTCGTCCCATTTGAGACTCGTCAGCTGGATGTGCCTGCATCCTAGAGCCACCATCCATCTCTGCTTATAACACTTGTGAATTAAGGCAATATTGAGACAATCTACACAGGATACACGTATGTCAATATGAGACTGATCAACTGCAGTCCTAACCATCAATAGAAAGATACAAAAAAACAATATCAAGTGAATTAAAACTTTACCCCATTGCACAATCAAGTGGCTATCAGGACTCAGTAGCTAAGTAAATAACATAATGGCGTTTGAAGTGAATGGCACTGAGTTTCAGTCTGCGAGTGAAAATCAACTTCTGGATGCAGGTACATTCAGCTGATGAGTATCGAATAGGATGAAACGTGCGTCGTAATGCATCAATTTTGTTCACAATAATCTCATTATGTGCCTATAAACTTGTACTATACACAATTTTATTGTTTAGAACATAGTTAGAATTCATCAAAAATCAAGCTCTTCTGTTATATCATTTTTCAAATTGTATCAAATCCACATCATCGTAGTCTACTTGACATTTTTGGTATAAAAGGTAACATGAGTATTCTAAATTTAGTGATTACAATTGAATGGGTTGTTTGAATCTAACCATTTATGTTTAAGATTGTAATTGATCAATTTCTTATTGGTATATGTGTATCCTGTACGTATTGACTTGAAATCACTAGTAAGTCACGAAAAGAGATAGATGGTAGCTATCAGTGGAATCCTGATACGAAGTCCCAAATAGGAAGAAATGTATGTCCTGAATCCCACTGCTAGCTATCACGCCTCTCCTCTTGTAAAATACAGTTTTGGTGATCGTTTCTCGCTAATTCCTTAGATTAATTAGTAGCACACTAAGGACAGGTCTCTAAAATCGAATTCATTGAGGATAGAAAACATATTTTGATACAGTGCAACTGGTCTCTTATTAATTTATCTAACACTTTACAGTCATTCAGTTCGAGTATTCATTGAACAAACTGAATGGAAATATCCCATGATGACAAACCGCACTAAATTTTGATCATTATCATCATCAACTATTATTATTTAAATCAAACTTATGCTGATCATGCCGCCAACTGCCATGGTACGGCTGAGGATGAGGAGATTTAGCTCCCTCTCTCTCTCCAAATACTCACATAGGCACGTGGATGCAACCACTACCAGGGAAGTCTTACTTACTGCCTTCTCTCAAGACGGGGTGTTCTTTGCGAAATTAAAAGAACGAAAAGCCAATGTCCGGCGCTTCAACCGAGTTCGTGGATATGGAGGATCCACTTAGGGGAGTTGGAAAACCCTGATTGCAAATCAATGATATACATGGGCTCATGAATCGAATATTGGTCACCGGTTACTATGTGATTGCATCTCCTTATGTTGCTTTATCACCTTGTGGATTAGACCTTTAGGTCAAAGGCTTGAGGTGTAGTCCCCTAAGAAAACCACCTACCTAAGTGTGAACACCCGGAGAGTATCACAGTCCAGTATTTATGTGTTCAAATAAATAAAATTTACTAATCATTATACAGGTTGAAATCATGAGTCAGTTGAAGCTAGAGCACCAGGACCTACTGGCTTCGCGCGAGAGCACTTAACCACCAGACCACTGAGCCGGCATCCAACGGTGTTAATGTCTAACTTCAACCAATCCACGAAGTTGCGCCACCGTACATGATTTCAACCTGTGAAATTTCTTAAACTCTCCACAAAACCCGTTCTGATAATAATCATTATACATTGTAACATTGTAATTATTACATCATTCAACTTACCCATACAATAGCCTCTTATTAATTCATTAGCTGGATAAGCAGTTAAATAACTATCATATAATTTTAATAAATTATCAGTGAAATTATTTGCTCTTATATTAAATGATCCAATACAACCGGTTAATGATGGTTGTTGACCATCTTTTGCTTCACTTCGTTCTAATGAATGCATTGCATAACGACGTAATAAATTAAGTAATGTTAACCATTCATGTTCTGGTATACCACCAAAAAATATATCAAATTGTGATAATAAATCCACACGAACATTTTTACCAACTAGATACTGTTTGTTTATTTTAGAGATAAAGAAAAGAAAAAAGAGAGAAAATCATTTGATTAAACAGAATTTCTTATCAGAATGAGGTTTATAAAGATTGTAGTAATTTAATGGTTGAATTCATGAGTTGATCTAAGCTAGGCCAGTCGTGAAAAGCTTGGAAACACTGGATGGTTGTTTCGTTTTGATATAGGACTCTTCAGCGGTATTGTGTATCCATGATCCCGCAGGTGAGATTTGAACCCGACCCAATGGTCTAGAGGTTAAGCGTTCGCGCGCACATCCGAAGGTCTTGTGGGAACGTGGTCGCGTACTGCCACTGAGGAGTCCCATGCTAGGACAAAATGTCCATTTAGTATTTCTAGGTTTTCCACGGTTGGTTTACCTTACATCGACTCGTAAATTCAACTATAGAAACAAATTTAATTGAAATATGCTTAGTTTTTTTCAGTATAACGGGCCTGTGGAGATTGTTGAATTTTATCATTTATATCAAGAACTGACGTTATTCAGAAAATCAATGAAAATCAATAAACACCAGACAGCTATTTCATTCTTGTATGGGACTATTCAACAATCCTCACTGAATATCGAAACTAGAATCCCTAAATCTGTGATGTTAGCCATTACATTTTATAATCCTCATAAATATCCCGTACTAACAATTGTCATATACACGCTAGTGATTGAAATTGAGCGTTAGTAGCCCTAAACAATGGATTTCGCTTATCATTGATGTTAGGCAACGTCTCACCAAAGGCGTTAGACGATAGTTAAATACGTAAATCAACTGATGTAATCTCAGCTGTGTTGAGATAAAAAGCTTCTTCCAAGAAACCTTAATGTCCTTGTTAGGATCGTGGATATACTAATGAGAACTGTTGTATCAGCTGAAGAGTACTTCATAGTTCAAAATGTTATTTTTTTTAATTAAAATTAGTTTGTATCAAATAAAATTTAACTAAACAAAATTAACTACTTATAAGTAGTTCAACTTATCTTCCAAACTTTCATCGAATAATTCTACCTACCTCATTTGAATAACCATCTAGATAGGCTAGAATTTCTTTATTATATTTTCGTAGAGTAATTGCAAGACGATGCCAATTACCATCAGCAACATTATCAGCACCTGGACCAGAAGTAATTTGATAAACACCTTGTTGATCATGAATTGAATAGATAATATGTATACGACCATTAAGAATCATAGCTGTAATATGAATTCCACTAGGATTATTGATATCACGAGCCTATAATACAAACAAACAGAAAACAAGAAAACGATGGGAAGATGAAGTTCAAATTTACGGAGAGGAACGATTCGTCAAACACTACAGAAAATATAATTGAATGGAATTTATTCTGTGGACGATGAGAATATAATCTACTGAAATCTGTACAGTTAAGTCTTTGGTATACTGAAGCATTGATGTGTGAGCGAAGATGATAATGGCTGGTTTTTTGCTTAGCCAAACTAGTAGATAGTCTGAAAGGTACTAAGTGAGTTTTATATTCTTCTAATCTTATTATTATTATGATTGTTGACGGACTGTTGTTTGGATTGTTATCGGTTTTTTTTGTTTTCCGTTCTAGTAAGGCTAATCACGTGTTCTTGATCTGAGTTGTGTTGAATTCCTGTAGAATAGACACTGTGAGGGAATCTATTGTAGATATTCGTCTAAAGCAAATTAACTTCCCATTCATGTGGACGAGGAAAACCGAGCGTTTTAACAGTACCAATTCACTATATCATTAGATAACGGTGTTATAATAGAATCATTTGATTTAAATAAGTTACTTCAACACATTCTACTTCGCCTTTTTTTGTTATACCTGTTACCCCTCGTCGAGGAGAGTAGGCTGCCAATCAACACTCACCATCCAACACTGTCCTGAGGAATTCTTTCCAGTTGTTTCCAGTTACTATTCATCCTTTTCATATCGGCTTCCGATTCTCGTCTCTGTTTGTTCTTCAAACTTCCTCTTTTCCGTTTCCCTTAAGGATTTCAAGTAAAGACTTGCATCGTGATGTAGTTTGGTGATTTCCTTAACGTATTCCTCTTTGGTTGGAAGTTGGTTTGTCCTCTCCCACAGAAGACTGTTGCTGATGGTATCCGGTCGACGAACATTGAATATCTTCCGTATAAATTTCTTTATAAATACTTGTATCTTCTTCATGATGGTTATGATAGTTATCCACGTTTCAGCTCCCTGCAATATAACTAACTGTCTTGACGTTCATATTGAAGACTGTGACTTTGATATTGTTGACAGTTGTTTTGAGTTTCATATGTTCTTCAATTGTAGGAATGCGGCCCTTGCTTTGCCGATCGTCACATTTACATCTGCTCCAGATCCTCTTAGTTCATCAATGATGCTTATCAGGTACTTGAAAAATTCCACATCTTCCAGAGTTTCTCCATCAAGTGTGATTGAGTTGATGCTCTTCATATTTCATTTTAGGATCTTGCTTTTTCCTTTGTGTATGTTGAGGCCCACTGATGCAGAGACTGCTGCTACACTAGTTGTCTTCATCTGCATTTGGTCGTGTGTATGTGTTAGGAGGGCTAGGTCATCTGCGAATTACGAATCGTCTAATTGATTCTGAACTGTTTATTGTATTCAATGTTTTCCCTCAAATATCGAGGTCTTCAAAATCCAATCGACCATCAGAAAAGAGAGGAAAGTGTCTGACTCCGGTTCTCACTTGGAATACATCTGTCAGCTATCCTCCATGCAAGACTTTGCATTTTAGTCCGTCGTATGAATTCCGTATGATATTGACGATCTTTTCATGTGCTATACAGTATTGAAGACATTTCCTTAATATCCTCCCATCCTCACTGTCAAACACCTTCTCATAATCAATGAAGTTGATGTATAAAATGATGAGTTCCATTCAACAATCATCTTTAATGTCACTATTTAGTCTATATCACTCTATTATTCAAAACATTATAACCATAATAAAAACATTGAAATAGATTTACTCGAAATAATACACCATCATAATTGGTTTTAAATTCAATTAACCATGTATCTCCACCATTTTTCATTGTAATTGGTTTATTCATATGAGCATAAATTAAACCAGATTTACATGTAATTGAATAAGTTTGTTGTCTTGGCCATATAGGAAATTTATGTCGAATTGCTGGTGGATTTAATAAATGTGTAGTATATTTAGTTGGAAATAATTTAGTACCAATTAAATCATATTGATTCCAATAAAAATTTCTAAATTCACCAACAAATTTTGGTCCAGGTGGTAACATAATTTTCTTTGTATCAATATCTTGATAATAACCAAAATTTGGTGGACCAGCACTGCCTAAATAAATTTGTTGAGCTATTAATTGAAATGTATCATGAGGATCAAGGAGAGGAATTTTCCCTAGTTAATGAAAAGAAAAAAAACATGCGAAAATTAATATTATACTTATGTTTTTGATAAAATACTTTAACTACTTATTTGTTTATCAGTAGTTAAAATATATATTGCAAAACTACTCGCTAGTACACTGAACACTTGATGATATAATGAAATATGTATTTAATACCACAAGATAAAGAATTTAATATCCGAAAAGCTACGAATGATTTGATGCAACCTAATAACAAATCTAAGCCTGCATGGAAAATGAAATGTAAGTGTAGATGGGCTATAATAAATAAGTGAAATACTTCTCTATCTAATGTTACTATACACATCGTTCCCAATTTGGATCAACCTTGTAGTAAGTTTTTAATACAATAATATGGCTTTCAGAAAGTAAGTTTCTCAAGTAAATTTAATATCCTTTCTCAGGATAATCGGGTTTATCTATATTAACTAGATTAGATGACTGGATAAAACAATTCTATGACCACATCACACTAATAACTACTTGATCATACACCAACTTATACAGACACAGATAAACAAATCATGTTTCAATAATATAAGCAGACTTGTGAGACACTCCTTGATAATCCTCAAAAGGTCTAAAATTTCAATATGATACGGTGTCGCCATTAAACTTCACTTTTATCATGTTCAAACAGGTTCATACTCCATTGGTTTTAAACAAAGTCCACTCATTAGTCGATGTTAACAATATCTCATTACTATAATGACATTATGGGTTTTGGGTAATGGACTGAGAGTGTTATCGCTAAGCGGTTAAACTTAGGCCTGTAAACAAATGGATATTGTCTCAACAATTTAAAGCCTATACACTTGCCGTTAGACGTGATGATCTTCAATTGGATCCTTGATGCGATTGTTAATGCGTACAGATAAAGAATCCTATACTAGAACGAAACAAATATTCAATGATTTTTGCGTTTTAGTGCTTGCCTAACTAAGATCAATCTGTGATATATACCATATAACTGAAATAATATCCATAAACCTCGTGTAGCAATTAGTCACGTCGTCATCAAAGAATGACTTTAAGAAGTAATTCTAAAGTTCTGATTAGAAGTCGTGACCAGCAGACCATACCGATGTTGAGCGTCAGGCAGTTGTTATCCACTGAGTATAGTGGAAGATTGTTATGTGATATTATGGTTTGACTGAATTTAATCATGTCAGCTATTAAGATCTCGGCCCAGTGATCTTGAGTTTAAGTGTTCATATACGACACCGGCTCAGAGTTCGATCTTTAGTTGTGAGATCGTGGATGGGTACTGTTGAGCTGTCCTATACAAAGACGAAATAGCTATCCTGGGTTTTTTAGTACTTGTCTATCTAAGATCAATTCATGATGCAAACGAATGTACTAAAGAAATAGATATTCATACAGTCTCAATCTTTAAAAAATATTAATCTTTATGTTGATTTTTAAACAAAGATGGATAGTGACTAGCAATGGAATACGGGACGCCCGTTTCGTCCAAAGTGCATATCAACTCTGGGATGCAGGTTCATCCAGTTGATGAGTCCCAAAAATAGGACGAAACACGCGTCATGTATTCCACTACGAGCCACTATTTATTTTTGCTTATAATGCTTGTGACTTAAGGCAATATCAAGACAATATGCACAGGATGTACATATGCCAATAAGAGACTGATGAATTGCAGCTTTAAACAACAATAGGAAACCACAAGTAAACAATACCAAGTGAATTTGTGTTAATTAAAGTCGTAAAATAATAAAGTGAAAAATTTTTTTATGAAAATAATGTTCAAATGGGTAGGGTTGTAGTAAACAAATGAGATCCCATTGAACTGCTAATATCCATAGTGTAGTGAAGTCGAGTCATTGAACCATAAGGTATCGAATAGATCTTTAAGATTTCTCGATCAGAATTTATAGAACACCAAAGAACCTGTTCAGATCTTGAATATGTTTAATTAACAATAAATTACTAACTCTTCCTGAAACCCCTCTGGGACTACTGCCGATCTCAAGCCCGTATATAAGAGAAGGGTTGGGCATGAGGTTAGTGACCCCATCCCGTAGAAAACCAACTCGCTAATCAGAAAACAATAAACTACTAAACAAACTAAATAATCAATTCAAATTGTTGTTTGATTAATTTTCTTTCCATGAAATGATGGATGTAACTCCTTTTTATACTACTGTAGTGAACGAGAACACAAACGAGGGCAACCAAGTGTATTCGAATACAAAATTACAGAATCACTTAGTATAATTTGGGAACCATACAGTAAGCACATCATTATTCTTTCATTTCCACACCAATTGTTCTTTGTTCTTGTTCTCTTTTCTTCGATCTTCTTAACTTTCTACCAACAGGTATTTCACTTTCTATTGACGCTACATACTACTTATATCAGTTGATATCAGTAGCACATAGCAAACCACTCAGACTTATCCTTTGATATCCTTTATAAAATTCAATCAGATCTTCTATCAAATCCATATCTGAAATCTACTTGCTATTATAGAACCTTAAGTTATCCAATTAGAGTTCTGTATGTATGAGAATAGTTTCATTCTAGATCACCAAACCCCCCCCCTTCCCAACTTTTAACACAACTCAAATTCTAATCAATATAATGCAAATATTTTGTGTTAAAGCATCGGGAAAGAAAATGCTGGTTTTGTGGTTAAGAAAATAAAGCAGGTTTTTTTTAGCTCTTGCGAAAAACAACCCAAACTATCAGTAGTATCCAAACAACCGCCACACACACACACACACGCACATGGTGCCAAATAACTTTATATTCACACACTAATAAAACAGTATACTCCTGTGTTAATCAAACAGGGAACAAATTAGGAGAATAATTGGATGAATGAAGGAACGGAGCAAACAAACAATAAAAGATATCGCTGTTCACAGTTAGCTTTGATTGTATTCCAGCTCTTATGCAAATCGAATAATGAATTGTGGTGCATATATATTTGGTACCTCCTTGTACTAATGTTTATGTGTTTAGATTACAACTAGCTCACCCATCATCATTTACTCTACATTGATTATAGTCTAAGTTTTACATGTGTATACAAACAAAATTTTAATATCAGAAGGGTTTTTTTGTGGCAATATTATAGTAATTTCAATAGTTGAGATCATGGGTCAATTGAAACTAGACTACTATGGAAAACGTGGGAGCAGTGCATGGGCGTTTTGACCCATTGTGGGAATTCTCAGTGACAGTGCACAACCACGATCCGGCCTCGCGAGCGCTTAATCTCTAGACTAGTGAGCCGTATCCAACAGTGTTAATGTCTAACTTCAACCAATCCACGAAATTGAGTGACACATCCACCATTGTCTTCAGTTTTCCATGGTGGTCTAGCTTCAAATGAATCATGATCTCAACTATTGAAATTTCTGTAATATCCACACAAAAACCCTTCTGATTTTAGTAAAGATATGCTTACTAGTAACTGGTTTTAAGAGGTACTTACTGAAGTTCTATTAAGAAACCGTGACCAGTGGTGTTCAACCGTGTTTGTTGTGGAATAGTAACTCACTGAAGACAGTGGTAGACGGTGACGTGATTTCACGGATTAATTGAAGTTAGACAGTAACACCGTTGGATAACGGCTCAGTGGTTTACAGGTTGAGAGCTCGTGTGCGAGGCGAATTCAACTATTAAATTACATTAATACTTTCTTAATGTCATCATTGATGAAGAATTAAACTTAAGACCATACACACACATACATTTTATTTATTTATTTAAACACATAAACATTAGTACAAGGAGGCACCAAATATCCGCCACATAAATCATTCGATTGCTGTGAGGGCTGGGATACTACCTCGGGTGCCCAAACAGAAGTAGGTGGTTTTCTTAGGAGACCAAACACGGAGCCTTTGACCTAAAGGTCTAATCCACAAGGCAGTGGAGCAACGTCAAGAGATGCAGTCACATGGTAGCCAGTGACTGATAATTGGTTCATATACCATTTGTCCCTTCAGGATACTGGATCCCATGCGCACAATTAGTTTGGAATGAAGGTTTTCCAACTCCCCTAAGCGAATTCTCCATATCCATCAACCCGATTAAAGCACCGGACATTCTCAAACAATACCCCGTTTACGTGAATGTAGCGTGTAGGACTTCCCTAACAGTAACTGTATGCACGTGTCATACGTATGCTTGTATGCGCATACACATAATACACTTATAATTACCATTATCATAAGTTAAATAAGTAGTTGCACAAAAAATCAAATTGGCGCCAACATTCAAACAACCAATCATAATCACATGTGTTATAACATTTCAAATATTATTCAAAAAGTGAAACAGCAACACAACACACCACACAGTTGCCATAACAACAAAAAACAGAAACCAAAAAAGAAAAGTGTGATTAAACAAAAACAAACTAGAGTAGTATAATCTTTAGTTGGTTGGTTGGTTGCTTTTTAAATCAAATTGCTACTCACAGATATTGAATCGTTCTATGAAATAAAATAAATTGTTATTTTGATGCAAATGGGAAAATTCTGTTTATAAATGAGGTAAAAATATATGATTGTATTCAGTGAATATTGTATGTAGAGTGAGGGAGGGAGTGAGTGAATGAGGGAGGGAGGGAAGGAGGAGGGAGTGAGGATGAGAAATAGAGATTAGGAGCAACAGGATAACACCAGTATTGAATGTGCATGTTACCAAGACTACATGTAATAGAGTATTTGATGGAGGCGTTGAATTACACAGAATAACGATAATTATGATTACATAATTCAACAAAATGTTAGTATTTTAACAGTTGAATTCACGAGTCAATCTAAGATAGAACAGTATTGAAAACCTTGAAAGCATTAGACAGCTGTTTTGTCCCGGTATGTGAATCATCAGTGATAGTGTGCATTGTTGATCTAGTTTAAATCGACTCATGAATACAATTGTTGAAATACTATGATTTCAATAGATCCATAACAACGATGAAATATTAGTTGTATGAATATATATATATATATATATATATATATATATATATATTGAATAAATCATCAGATTGCATCACAAAGCAAGCGCTAACTTGGAATCCTGAAGGGGAACAGAAAAGAACAAGACCAAGACATAAAAAAGGATGAATAGTAACTGGAAAGGATTATCCAGTAAAGAGTTGGATGGAGAATGATTGTGAGCGGCCTATGATCCCCCAGGAGGGATAACAAGAGTAAGCAGGCATATATAGGTTAATAGATAGATAGATGGGTAGATAGTTGGTGTTATGGATGACGAAAAAGTATGAACTGTATATTAGTTTGTATGCTTGTTACAATGAAATTACATACATGATTTTGGTTTGTTAATTGTAAACAGTTAACAATCATGTTAATCACCTTTTCCATTGTTTAAGTGAGGGGTTTTGTTCTTCCTTCTAGATTCTATTGTCATTACATTATTCTCATTTAATTCGATTTATAATTAGCTCAGATGTTGGTAACAAATAACGCAATCCATGAGCAAGGTGTATTAAGGTGTTTATGATCTGAAAATATGATCTAGTGTGATCGATTTACGTAAGAGAATCTCAAAAACAATCACTACTGAATCTGTATGGACATCGCTCTATTGTGTAATGTTTATTAGCATTACACAAGGTATTTGGTCACATATTATAACCATTCAAGTAATTGAATACCTCCTTGTATAAAATAGTATTTCATCTTAGTCATTTGTTTGGTTATTCTAATAACTAATCGACTTACCATATACTTACTGAACAGATCATTTATGAATGTAGGATAGTTTGTGTCAGTTTATCAAATAAAATCAAATGACTAGTGTTGGAGACAGTTGGAAGAAAGTTAGGAGTGGCCAAACGAAAACGTGGTATCAATACTTCAAGACACAAACTTCGAGTCTGAGCCATGTTGGTAGATATAGACTACTTAGTTGGGGTCTGCGTAACTGTCGTGACCGATGTTTGAGACTGTGTGTGACATGGCTCAGAATCCATCACAATGGCGTCCGTGTATGAGCTCTCTGTCTTCCCTTAAGCTATGAGATTATAATCTCTTCATATCTTTCTACCAACTAATTCTTTCTTCCTGTACTATGTCCCTATATGAAATCTTTCTTTTATATATTACCACCACCACTGAATTAACTACTTCTATGAATTCGGTGTTTATCTTGTTGTACTAATAGGGTTTGGCAACTTGAACCAATGCATATATGTACCTGATCCTACGTTGTAGCTGACTGACTTATCAAATAACACAATGAAAAGTGACCTTCATTTATAAATCCTGTAATTAGATGATAACAGTAAAGTATTCCAAGTAAAAGATCAACAATTAACACAACACAACCAAAAGGGTTCATATCACTTTACTCACTAAATTGTAATTAAAACACAGAAAATCAGTTGTAAGTATTGCAAAAGATATGTAGTTTATCTAAGAAATATGATTTACTATTGAGATGGATACTGGTACATTGTTTAAACGTCCATTATTCAATGTTACCAAGGATAATATCAAATAGATATCTCTTTCTACATATGATTTAATGAAATAAACTGTTAAGTACAATATGTTTTTTTAATTGAGATCATGAATCGATTGATGCTGGACCACCACTGAAAACCTGGAGACACTGAACGACCGTTTCGTTTTAATGTAGGACTCATCAGCAGCGCACATCTACGAACCCAGGGTCTTCGTTCCCACGCGAAAACGATTAACCTCCAGACTACTGACCTGGCATCCAACGGTGTTAATTTTTAACTTTAATCAATCCACGAGATTGTGCGACCGTCCACCATTGTATTCACGAACAAAATCAAAGGTCCTAGTTTCGATTCCCGCGAGTGGGATCGTGGATACGAAACGCTTCCTGGTTTTCCATGGTGATCTCGTATCAATCGATTCATGATTCTAATCAAAACTCAACAATCTCCACAAACCCATACTGATAAATATAATAGTTCATGTTAACAAAAAAGTTACTCCCCCCTTAAAAAAAGATTACAGTTATCTACAATTTATAATTTGTAGGTGTTCTAATCACCAAGTGAATAGTAAATTAAGAATTATTTTCTATTTTTTGCACACCGTCTTTTATCCTAAGAACTATCCACCATTGCATACCTCTTAAAGGTGTATCAATTAGAAGTCTACCTGAAAAGATTATTTTTCAAGAGAAGGTAAATTGAAACAATCTACAAATTCATTATCAGTATAGGCAAAAATAAAGAAGATATAATGATAACAATTATATCCTTATTCAAATGAAGATTTATGAAGATTGTAGTAATTTTAATGGTTGAATTCATCAGTCAATCTAAGCTAGATTATCATTGAAAACTTGGAAGTACTGGATGGTTGTTTCGTCCTAGTATTGGACTCCTAAATGGTAGTGCATATCCACGATCAAAAAGGATTGTGCAAGATCGATGTTAGACATTAATATCGTCGAATCCTTGCTCAGTGATCTAAACGTTAAATGTTCATGCGGGAGATCAAATGTCTTGGGATTGATTCTTTGTATATGATATCATGGATATGCACTATTGAGGAGTCTCATACTAAAACGAAACAGCTGTCTAGTGCTTTCAGGTTTTCCATGGTGGTCTAGCTTAGATTGACTCATGAATTTAGCTATTCACATTTTGAATACAAACTAAGTTTTAGTTAACTGTTCATCATCATCAACTTATCTCTCAATTGAATTGTTATTCTTTCAAATAAGTGTATATATGTTTGTATGTGTACTTACTTACGTACCTTCAGAAGATATTTATAGCCTATTGTGAGTTAAATCCCTGTGAAATTCAATGAGTAAACACCACAGTGATTTATAGAATTTCTTCCTTTCACTGGATGAAATACAGCTGATTACTACAGAATTCATACAAAGAATTCATTTAGTAATCAAAGGTGATTTCGTGGAAGTATAACTCACTGTTAAGAAGTATTCTCATTTCGTATAGATTACTGTATTACTGCATTACTGTAAGGAAACATGTATGATATTGAATCAATTCAATCCTCTACCTACATACATTATTCATAGTCAATACGGACCTGGAACAGTCACTTGAGAATATGAAAATGATATCATAGTTGTAAAATGTTCTAGATCTAATCAGAGGATAGTTCCATTGTTCAAATATAATAGATTACATATATTTAATTGGCTTACCAGTTATTGAAGCTCTATCAACAGAGATGACAATATAATCAGCACGACGTGCAATATGTAATGTATGCCAACGATTATCATTTAATGTAGCACTTGGAAGAAAGAATTCCTATAAGAAAAGAATAGAAACAATAAAAGAATCGATAGCGAAAAGGAGGAATTCCATTAGGAAAAAGAGAAATTCAAAGAATTCAAGATGGGGGTTTCATTCTGTTTGGGATTTGTCAGCTAAATATACCTGCCATCTCAATTATTTATTGAATTGAACACATAAATATTGGTACAAGGAGGCACCAAATACATCATGCGTCACACAAGTCACTTGATTTGTATGTGAATAGTGATACTGCCTGGGTGCCCAAACCGATGCATATGGTTTTCTTTGGGGGCCACTCTTCGAGCCTTCAACCTAAAGGTATAATACAGAAGGCATTGGAGCAACATAAGGAGATTCAGTCACATGGTAGTCGGTGACGAACGATTGATTCATACACCATTTGTTCCTTTAGAATCCTGGAGCCCATGTGTACCATTGGTTTGGAATCAGGGTTTTCTAACTCCCATAGGTAGATCCTCCATATCCACCAACCCGGTTAAAAAGCCGGACACTCAATTTCCGTCCTCTCAATTTCACAAACAACACCCATGTTGAGAGAAGGCAGTGAGTAGAACTTTGCTGAAGGTGGCTGTATAGACGTGGCAATGTGAGCATTTGGAGAAGGTGGGTTGACTCTTCTCACCCTCGGCCGTACCATCTCAATGGTCCTGTGAATATTTGGACTAGAACCTAGTACATTTTAGTTCAAATGCCATTGAATTCTGATTCCAACAAGTCATTAGCTTATACATGCATAGGATTAGTCTCACATTCCTCCACTTCTAGTCAATATATTTTCATTCAAAACTTTTGACTAAATAGTAAAGTTAATGGTTCTAATGTAGTGAAGGATAACACAGGTGAGGAGAACCGAATATATTTAGCACAAAATTACAGAATTGCTTGATAAAATAGAAAAAGAAATCATATGCCAATACTTCATTTGCAAAATGTTCATTAATTGTCTCAGACTTCATTGTTCCTGCATTTCCATACCAATTACTTTCTGTTCCCATTTTTTCTTCCTTGATCTTCTCAACTTTCTGTTGCCAGACATTCTATTCCTGACTAGCCTTATATATTACTTATGTCAATATACTAGTAGCACACATCACACTATGATGAGGTTACAAGTGAAAATTACTAAGTAGTTTTGAAACCGTACAAAAAAATAACTCTCCAGTTCTCTTCAGTTGATATCAACATTCCAAAATGTAGGTTCAACTTAGACAGAACAAAACTGACAAGCCATTTTTCTAAGAGAAATCAGTTTCACTGAGCAAATTAATTTGTAGGGGTTGAATGGGAACTGATTTAATTTATTGGCAACACTTATCAAACATTAATCTAACTTAGGGTACTATTGAAAGCCAGTAATTATTGGATATCTATTTTGTACCAATATGGGACTCTTCAGTAAGTTACATCCACGACCTCACAAAGAATCAAACTTCAAACATCCAGTTTTTGTTGTTGTTGAGGAAATCCTTAACTGTTAGTAACTTCAGTGGATTAGAGTTCGAGTTTTACCAATGAAATTCAGAATCTGAAGGTCCTGGGTGTTGTCCTTGGTGTGATCATCGATATATACGGCTAAATAGTCTCATACTAGGATGAAACAATTGTTCAATACTTATTGATTTTCATTCGACGTCTAACAGACTGTTATATCCCGACGAGAATAATGAATGGTAACTGTTGGGATCTATTTATGGACTAATACTATATGTATATTCTTACTGTATAACTGTCAAGTACCTAAACTATGCATACTCATGTTCCCCTTATTATAAGCTTTATTTTTACCCACTGACTACTATTATACGATTTACCATTCTTGAGTTATGCCCCAGTCCATTCATTACAGTATCCCACAATCACAACCATTTTTGGGTAGATCTTGTACAAATGTTATTCCCTATTTTGTGGTGTAATGTGGTCTGTTTGGTTTATATATAAACCAAGTATGTTTGAAATACATGATTCATATCGCCGATGCTGAGATTGGTGTTCTGGACTTTAACAGGCAGTGCTAAGTATATAGAAGGACCGAGAGAGACTCTAGATTACTCATACGGGTTCTTATGCGTCATTGATCTAGTCGATAAGTCACTGTTGTCTAGTAAGCGGTACCATTACTTCATACAATGATAAGAGCAGAAACCTACAAGTTATAACATAAACATCAATCCATGATTCCGGTCTATGAAAATGTAACTATCTCCACAACAATTGGATAGAAATAGAAAGGAAGGCCTAGGACAGAGTAGGTTGGAGAATGCTGGTCGGTGATCTATACTCCATTGGGAGTAACAGTCGTAAGTAAGTAAGTAAGTAATAAAAACTAAAAGCAAGTATATCAATTAATGTCAATTTGTTCAAGAATTCAATTTACCTCGAATGCATTTGATTTGCCTTTATGATTAATATTGGTTTGAACACGTATTTGTCCATTAACTAAATCTACACGAAAATATGATTTATCAGCCCGAGATACTGAATAGAATAATGGTAAATGATCCGTTTGTCCATGGAGATTAGTTTCTGTTTTAAATTGTAAACTAATATCATCTGTATGTGTAATTAATTTATTGATTTGTTCTTCAAAATCAACTACATATACCATATCACCATCCATTTCAAGTATTGGAGCATCTAATCAATGAGAGAGAGAAAAAAGAAAGAAAAAAACCATTCAAAGTAAACTGTGAAACAGGGTAACAACAACAATTTGGATGACTCACCCGGTCTCCCACATTGTACAAGCATTCCATGTACCCAAATTAATGACTGCTCTGATTGTCAGAAAGGACATCAAACTCGTGACTTCCGAAGGAACTCGGCTTCCATTACGAGGCTTCATAACTCTTCTAAATGAAGACCTTCTAACTCCCAGGAAAGAGTTTAAGTGGTTTGAATTATTTTTCTGGTTAGCGTTTTCTTAGTGAGTTAGTTTTCTAAGGGGTGGGGTCGCTCACCCTATGCCAAGCCCTCCTCCTTTATCCGGCTTGGGACCGGAGATAGCCCAAGATGGGCCCCTGGCGGAGGAAGAAATCAGGAAGAAGCGCTGAAAGTGGATAGGACACACATTGAGAAAGCACCCATCTGCGTCACAAGGCAAACCCACACTTGGAATCTTCAAGGTCAAAGGAGGAGAGGAGGACTAAAGAACACATTACTCCGAGAAATGGAGATAGACATGAGAATAGTGAACAAGAATTGGATAGAGCTAGAAAAGCAGGCCCATGACAGAGTAGGTCGGAAAATGCTGGTCAAAAGACTATGCTCGACTGGGGGTAACAATCGTAGGTAAGTAACTCTTAACGATACATGTTTTCTTAATATGCGAAATTTAATTATGAATTTAGGAAAAATTAGAGTGATCTTTTAAAAGTTATTACTTTTGGAGGGAGTTTCTTAAGATGGCTGGATTTCATAGTTTACATCACAAACTGGTTTTGTTTAAACAACCACTGAAAATAAAGAAGTATAGGGAATTTGCTTCATCCTAGAGTAGGACTTCTCAACTATGCTCACCTACGATCCCACCACCAGGGATCGAACACAAGACCTCCGGTCTCATATGCGAACGCCAGATATCTAATGGTATACATGCACCTTCCATCCATTTCCTTTTGATAAATGACCTTCTTACTTCTGATACAGATTGAAATCCACTAGTTACAGCTTCTCACTACAATTTAAGTTTGTGATTTAAACTGTGAAAATTCTATAATCTTCATAAATCCCCCTATTTTGATAATAATTCACTAGTGACTAGCTTCACGATTTAACTTCTACAGTTCTAATGAGAAACAGTCATTAAATGCTTCCAGTTTTACAAGCGTCGTCTAATTAAGATCAATTCGTACTTTAAATCAATAAAAAGCTAACACTCATTGTAACTATTCCATAATCCATCATAGTAAGACTAATCTGTATTACAGATTCAAATCCTTTAAAATAAGAGACGTAATTGTTAAATGGAGTGAAACAAAAAACTGGGGCTGTGGATTCAAAAGAACCAGGTTTTAACTATTATCCCACCGTGATCGAGCTCAAACATAATAAACCAATAGTCCATGCCACAGGAAGCACCTACATAAGAGTACTACCACTACAACAACAACAACAACAACAACAACAACAACAACAACTACTACTACTACTACTACTACTAATAATAATAATAATAATAATAATAATAATAATAATAATAATAATAATAATAATAATAATAATAATAGGTACCTCGATCACATCCGACAGATCGTCGAATATCCATAGTTTTCTCTGGAAATGTTTTATCCGATTCACTGCAATCACAAGCAAAATTTAATTCTTCTAAAAATGGATATGAACGCCTGGAACATCGTCCACCACCGCAGATTTTTTCATTACAACGTTGTTTGGGTACTTCACATTGTCCTAAACGAATTCCTTTACCAATATCAGTATGTTGAATCATTCGACTGGAAATGGAAATGGTGCAAGATATAGATTATTCATCTGACATCTTAAGAGTAAATGTGATGAAGACATTTTGAACCGAAATCTGGTAGTTTGAACTTTTAGCTTTAATTACTTTCAACATGGTTATAAGACTATTTAATGATACCTTCAGGCAAATACTTCAGCCTTTACCTCGTATAGACTAAATAATTAGAGGTAGTGAACAGGAAATCCCGCTTGACGTGGACTGTGTGCTAGTTGTCATTCGTCAGAAAAGTGTATTCGTAATCTTGAGGGGACTGATGATCCTTGTAGGATTTCAATCCACGTCCACCTAGATTCACAGTCTGAGATTTTAGGTTTGAGCTGTTCGTACCACTACTAATCTCTTGTAAGGCTGAGATATTTACATTGATTGACATACTCTATTAAAATAGGAGAATGAATATCATGTATAGTTAGATTGATTAAATTGGGATCGGGTGACACATAATCCACTCAATGGCACCCTACTGATCTTGGAGATCTATTTATTAGGTTGATAAACACGCATTGGTGACTTGCATAGAAGTAGCTAATTGTATGAATTGAACAATTTTCAAATCCAGTCTGTGTATATTGTCTCATTTACATGTTATGCTCTTAGAAACAGTTACAAATGGTGCAGGTTCATACACTTTCTAACTTCCCTATAGATGTTGTACTACAGTATTCCTTTATATATTCCTCTTTTCCTTTCGTCTTATCTAACTATACTCTCTATCAGTATGTCGTTGTGGAGATTATTAAGTTTTTGATTGAAATCATCACCATCATGTTAGATAGTCGCGCAATTTCGTGGATTGGTTCAGGTTAGACATTAACACCGTTGGATACCAGCCGGCTCAGTGGTCTAGAGGTTAAGCGTTCATGCGCGAGACTGAATGCCCTGGGTTGGAATCCTGAGAGTGGGGTCTTGGATGGGGAGTCCCACAATAGAACGAAACAATCGTCCAGTGCTTCCAGGTTGTTATTATCATCTGTTGAAATTAAATATTCCTAACCACTAATGGACAGACGAAGAATAAATGTGGAAAAGGTATTTGGATGTTAGTTGATGTGTCTTGAAACACACGTCATTTCCTTACAAGTAGTCTTCAATCTGAACACTGATGTGCAAGAATGAAGGCCCTGTGTTTGAATCCCGTGAGATGGATCGTGGATGCGCACTGCTGAGGGGCCCCATAATAAGACGAAACGGCCATCCAATGCTTCCAGGTTTTCAATGGTGGTCTATCAACAATCGATTCATGATCTCAATCATATACTTCCTATGTTTGATCTTCTCCAACGTCATTAATTCTATAATCACTTTGAATCTTTTGCTATTTATCATATTAATTTCAGATTGTTGTACTACTGTGGTATGGCAATTTGAGCTCATTTTCAGTCATCTTTTATATGTTAGATATAGAGTTAATGTTGATGTAGGTACAGTCATGGATTAATCAGCCTCAACAACCTTATTGAGCACAACAGGTCAAGCTAAGGTAGTCTTATTGAGGTAAATTTTCGAATGACTTGAGGTCAGACAATTATTGACTGTGTTCTGATTAACGCTGCAGACTAAACCCCATTTTCTCCAGAGTACTTAATTAGTTACTACTTACTTACGCCTGTTACCATCAAATTGAGCATAGGCCGCCGACCAGAATTCTCTAGTCCACTCTATCCAAGGCCTTTCTTTCTAGTACTATCCAATTGTCTCCAGAGTAACTCATGTAGATTAAATACTTAGAAACAGTCTGATTTGATAGTTATTTAAAATGTTGGAAAATTATCTTCAATAATTCTTTTATTAATTCAATTCTCAAAAACAACCAACTTCATTCATTGAAATTTTATTTAGTTCAAACATCGGTACATGGAGGCACCAAAAAGATATGCCTCACATAAATCATTCAATTTATGTGAGGGCTGGGATACTGTCCAAGCGCCCAAACCGAACCAGGTGGTTTTCTTAGGGGGCCACTCCACGAGCCTTCTACATAAAGCTATGATCCACAAGGCAGTGGAGCAACGTCAAGAGACGCAGTCACATGGTAACCAGTGATCAACGATTAGATCATATGCCATTTATTCCTTCAGGATACTGGAGCCCATATACACCAGTGGTTTGGAATGAGGGTTTTCCAACTCCCCTAGGTGAACTCTTCGTGTCCACCAACCCGGTTAAGGCGCCGTATATTCTCATTTCTTCCTCTCAACTTCGTGAACAAAACCCCTGCCACGAGAAGACAGCGATTAGAACTTCCCTGGCATGAAAAATAATGTAAAAGAGCGAGCTGGCGGGCGGTCGGTCGTGCAAGCGAGCAAGTAAACAGTCAGTTGATATAATAATAATAATTAATCTATTTCACTTACGATGAAACATCCAAATAACTATTTTCATTTACTAATATTGAATGAATACAACCGGCAAAATTTTCACGTGACCAAACATGCCATGGTAAACGACCCACATTATCAATACTTCCAATATAAGTATATGTAGCAAATGCAGCTTGATGCGCTTCTTTACCCTCTTCAACATCGACTAATTGATTATTGAATTTTACCTATCAACATAAAAAAAGAAGAAAGAAACGTGAATTTTATTATAAAATGTGAATAAAACATAGAAATATACTTGGTATTGTTTTACATGAATCTTCCTATTGATGTTTAGGACTGAAATTGATCAGTCTCTTATTACCATATGTGTATACTGTGCTCATTGCCTTGAGTTCCAGAGTAAACATCAACTCTGAGATGCAAGTACATCCAGCTGACGAGTCCCAAATAGGATGAAACGAGCATTAAACTGGATTCCACTGCTAGCCACTATCCATCTTTGCTTATAAACATAAGAATGGTTACAGAATCATTATTACATAATCTGTAGTGAATGTAACTATGATAATGAATATCAATAAGCAATGGGAAAATGATTTAGATATAAGGATATCTGATACTGTCTGTTGTCATGGATAAATATCAGTTCAAGAACCTCAAGTGAAATCATATATGTGAGTGCTACTAAAGCGACTTATAGTGATGGTAATTTAGACTAATATTAAGATTACTATCCGACCTAAGTCCAAACAACCTTTAAGAATATGGAAAAACTTGACTGCTGTTTTGTTCTAGTATGGGACTCCTCAACAGTGAACATCCACAATCCCGCCCCCCGCGAGATTCGCACCCAGGACCTATTCTTCAATTACTACCCATGTAATAGCAACCTCTTCTACAATTAATTTCAATTATCGTTGAATGTTGGTTAAGCCCTTTTACTAACTTAATAGTAACTATTTTTCTATTTCTTTGTACTATTATGATCACTATTATATCTGTATAAACGTGTATACCTGATCATACTACAGCCTATGTACATATCTCTCTATAGCTTAAATATCACTCGATGATGCATTCTCCTCCTCACTACTATAATGTACTTCGCTGCATACATTTTGTTCTCTATCAACTTGCAATCACATTACCTAATTTCTAATACACTTGGGTTTTCCATTATAGCAGTGTAATTTGGAGTTTGTTGATTGCATAATCACTTAGATTATATATTGCTGGGATCACTGGGTAAGTAATCTTGAGGTTATATGCAAGGTATTAGGGAGTGATGATGGTAAATCAGTTGATGAGGTTGTAAATCTTTAACGAATGAGATAGTTCAGCCACGTGTTACGTATGTCTGAACACCGATTACCACGACGTGCGATGCTAATTAGTGTTGGGGATGGTTGGAAAAAGGTTGGGGGTGGCCAAACCAAAACGTGGCATCAGTCCATAAAGTCACTAACTTCTAGTATGAGCCATGTTGGTAGATGCAGACTACTTAGCTGGGGTCCGCGTGACTGTCGTAACCAGTGCTCGGAGACTGTGTGTGACATGACTGAGAATCGATCACAATGGCGTTGGTGTATACACTCTCTATCTTCCATTAAGCTATGAGATTAAAACCGCTTTATATCTTTCTTTCTACCAATTAATTCTTTCTTCCTGTACTATGTCCTTATATGCAATCTTTCTTTTATGTATTACTACCATTAAAGTAACTACTTCTATGAATTCGATGTTGATCTTGTTGTGCTAATGAGGTATGGCAACTTGGACCGATGCATATATGTGCCTGATCCCACGTTGTAGGTGACTGACTAATTAATCACTTAGAAGTTATGCAGTCCGAAATAAAATTTGAAATTGATGATGTCCATATGTCAATGAAATCGTTGTGAAATAATGATTGATCTTGGCGACTGGTTAACCATAAAGAGTTGTGAATGTTTGGTTGGATTATACCTAATACGATTATATATACATGCTAGATTCTTTCTGGTTAGCGTTTTTTCTACCCATACACACCAACAAATGCAGGCGAAGACAGACAGTGTAGCAGCAGCCTCTGCCACAATAGGCCTCAACATACACAAAGAAAAAAGTAAGATGTTGTAATAGAACACGGTGAGCACTAAATCTCGCTTGATGGTGAAGCTTTAGAACAAGTGTAAACATTAACGTACCTAGGCACCATTTTTGATTAAAAAAAGAGATCTGATGCACATAGAAACACATGTATTGATAAAGCAAGGGCAGCAATCCTACAATTGAAGAACGTATGAAACTTAAAACAACTGTCTGTCAGCCAGTATAAATCTGCATTTTCCACAAGAACGTCAAACAGTTCTATTGTATGGATCTGAAACTTGAAGAACCACTACAACTATCATCAAAACGGTAAAAGTGATCATAAACAGTTGTCCACACAACATAATCAACGTCCGTTGGCCGAATACCAACAGACCACTATGGGAGAGGACAAACGATCTTCCAACTGAAGAGGAAATTAGGAAAAGACGTTGGAAGTGGATAGGACATACATTGAGAAAGTCAACAAACTTTATCATGAGCCAAGCCCTAACTTGAAATCCTGAAGGTAAACGGAAAAGAGAAAGACCGAAGAACACACTAAATCGAAAATTGGCAGTAGACAACAAAAGAATGAATAGGAATTGGAAAGGATTACCCCATATCCTTACAATTGTTATCTCCTCCTAGACTACATTTGTTAATCATTACAACTTAAAGTCATTTCATTCATCAACATATATAAACAAACACATTCAATTTATAAATTAACTTACAGTAAATCTATGCTGTGCATTACGTGATACATATACACTATAAATACCTCCATCATTCACAACTGTTTTAGGTGGATTCAATCGAATATGTTTATAATGTCCACCAACTGCATAAACAAAATAAACATTTCCATCGAATAATTCTACACAAACAAAATCTCTATGTTCTTGATCAGGTCCACTAGATGAAAAAAAAATAAACAAAAATAATATGTTGATATCATATAGTTAGTTAATATATGAAAAGGAACAGTCTTTATAATACATTTAAACAATTGTATTTACTTGATGAGTACTGTTAGCTAACTCCGATTCATCATTAGTCTATATTGAGTTATATTCATCTAGAATAGCTCCCAAATGCCATGGTATGGTCGAGAGTGGGAAGTCAGCTCTCTCTCTATCTTTCTTTCTCGAAATGCTCTCACATGGTCATGTGCATACAATCACTGCCAAATAAGTCCTACTCACTACTTTCTAGTAAAGGGGTATTGTTTACGTAATTGAGAGGACGAAAACCGAATGTCCGACGCATTGACCGGGTTGGAGGATATGGAGAGTTCATATAGGGGAGTTGGAAAACCCTCATTCCAAACCAGTGGTGTACATCGGCTCCAAGATCGTGAGGGAATAAATGGCGCATGAACCAATCGTTGGTCACTGGTTACCATGAGACTGCATCTCTTGACTTTGTTCCACTGCCTTGTGGATCATACCTTTAGGTCGAAGGCTCGGGGAGTGGCCACGTGCTTTGGTTTGAGCGCTTGGGCAGTATCCCATCCCTGACATAAATTGAATGATTTATGTGGCACATATCTATTTGGTGCCTTCTTGTACGAATATTCATGTGTCTAAATAAATAAATAAATCATCTAGAATAGAATACTTGAATGTTGTCATTTAATCACCACACGTTTTAATGAGTCTACGTGGTACCCAGTAAAGAGATCTAAAACGAAATTTTCATTCAGTTTAAAACTCGTCAACACCATGTACTTAGATCTATGTGTTGATTTTTGAGAACGAAAACATAAACTTCATATCTATTGCACAAACGATTTTCTACTGAACTCGGTATCATAATAAATAATGCATTGAATGTTTAGAGTATGGGGCACTGGGTTCGAGTCCCAAACGTATCCAGATGATAAACGTTAGGAAGTGTGAAACACGCTTGCCGGACTCCACCATTAACCACAATACAACTTTCATAAGAACTAATCTTCATAATAACTTTGTTAAGCAAGTAAGAAATGAGAACATGTGACCAAAATATTTTCTGGACTACTTTTAATAAAAAGTAATACAACGTTATAAAGCCGTTTATTACGTGTTTGATTACAAACAATACCCTTTTGTATTGGTTGTTTAAAACTTTTCATCCCCGTTTTGGATGGCTAATGATCAGTCTCTATTGGTATATGTGCATCCTATGAGGATTGACTCGATACTTCCTTCAGTCGCAAGCACTATGTCCTGGGTTCGAATCTCGTAAGGCGGGATCGTAAATGTGCACTGCCACTGAGGATTCCCATACTAGGACGAAACGCCCATCCAGTACTTCCAGGTTTACCATGGTGGTCTAGCTTCAGTTGACTCATGATCTCAACTATTAAAATTACTATAATATCCACAAAATCCCTTCTGATATTAAACACGCATCATAATTAGAAATGGATGCTGGTTAGCAGTGGGATCCAGGGTGCATGTTTCGTCATATATGAAACTGATCAGACGGATATTTTTACATCCCAGTGTTGATGTTCACCCCGGGACAAATATACAATCACGAATCAAGTCAAACGAGATAGTCAAAATGTACAGATAATAACGGGATAAGAAATCAGCAACAACCAATAAGAATTGTACTTTACAGTACAACCTGTTAATCATGTATGTAGTACATCTCGTAGTTCACTTCTCTCTGAATTTGGCGCTGATGACTTTGTCTAGAATGTCAGTGAATGATCTTCATAATTTAATCATCTAATTCAAAGAATGTAACTCAACCGAAATCATATCCCTAAGCTACAAATCTTTCTAACCATCTCATCACCTAAATGATTATAGTCTCATTTAAATTAATTTATCTGTGACAAAACCTCTTACACGAATAAACAAAGGACAACCAAAAACTTAAAACGTAACATGAGTTATTTTTGAAGCCCTAACGATAATAGTCAGTGTGTATAAAACGAATAACAGGATAATAAGTAATCAATTCTATTGTAGGGGACATTTTTTAAGTTGAATTAGGAACACTGTTTACAGACAGATATCACCGACAGTACTGTATCATTGTGAAGTATCGTCAAGAATTAATAAAAGTTAACAAGATGGAAAACTAACAAATTCCATTGTTATTTTCTTAACGAATAATGTGGCAAAATTGAAGAAAAGTCCAATATTACCACAAAACAGATACCCAGTACTTCCTTGATTGAAGCTGATGACAAGAGATGCTACATATTAGGCCATAGCGATCATCAATTTTTGTCCAAAGATTTCTGTTAGCTACTGATTATTTAGTTAGTAGGCTAAATTCATCGTCAACTTTTTCTAGGCTTGTTGCTCAGTCATCATTTAGCTAACTGCTTGAATCATAGACAAAAGTAATTTCTTAGGAACAATATACAATTTTGTTTATTTAAGCATTACATTTATCTAAATTTCCTTATTAGAATTTATTACTCAATAAGAAACAGTATCATTTTGATGGAGTTTTTTTCTGTAAGTTGGATGAGTTGGCCGTGGAGCTTCCATTGTTATCCCGAACGATATCATCAACACAAACCTCAAGTAGAAGTGAAGTGTTCAAATTCCTCTACATATGGCTCATAGATTTTCCTGTCAGCCTCGATCTTCATTAGTTACTGTTGACTTTTAACCTGTCATTCTTTAATCAAAATAAAGAAGCAAACAATGACAATTCAATACCGAGGTCTACAGAACAAGCTGTGAGTCATATGTGGAGAAACTCGAACACTTCAGTTCTACCTGGAGTTTGTACTGATGATGCCGTCCAGAAGAGTGATGAAAGCTCCACGATCCAGCTTAGAGAACAAAACTCCAATTAAACCATCTACCTGAGCTACAAATCTTCTCCACCATCTCAGGAACAATATCACCCATAAAATATTTTAAAACTAATGATTACTAAACAGCTATCTTGTTTTAATTTGAAACTAGATAATAAACATAATCATGGGTTAAAATGAAGAGAACTAGGTCTCATAGAGTAGTTATAATCACTGGACTAAGATCAGTTAGCTTAAATTTAAGGCCAGATTAACTTTTAGACGTAGCTAGTAAACTATCAAAATAATCTTGGCTCTTAACTCTTAAGGGTTAGATCGTTGTTAAAGACAGTCTACATGAAACTCTGAATGACTTACCTTTCATATCAGTCACAACTCGTCAAGAAGGAATTATTACAAGTTCAAGGGAAATGATGTTTCTATTGGGATTAGAAAGACAACAACACCTAGTTTACCACTAAATTATTTTAAGTGGAATTGTCCCCGTTTAGGACATTAAAGCCTTGCATTACAACTAGACGTGAATTATACCTTTTAAATGAAAGGGAACAAACGAAAAGTCACTTTCTTTTGCTATTTTTTATCGATTCTTACACGAAATACAAGTGTGTACTTGTATGTGTGTGTGCATATGTATCTATCTATCTATCTATTCACTCGTTTTACCTGTTACAATAGACAGCAAATTAGGTGTAATACGTGAATGTATTATTGATTAGACTTAAACGAATTCAAGAATAATAACGTCCTATAACTATTATATTATCTCTTACCATCCTTATCCATCGATAGAAAAGGAATACAAGAGAGAAATAGGTGATTAGCAAATAAACACTAGTGTAGACCTAGTTTATATTCCCGCTTATATTAGTGGATAGAAAAAGGATTTATGGGATAGAATCTAGTTCGAGGTAACGCATGATTACTAGTTAACAAAGAAATAAACAAAAAGTTCGAATCTTGCGAGTCAGGATCGTGGATGCAAACTGCCACTGAGGGGTCCCACAATAGGACGAAACACCCATCCAATACTTCCAGGTTTACCATGGTGCACTCACTTCAATTGACTCATGATCTCAACTACTAAAAAATGTAATTGTCAAGCTTTTGGAGGTTATTGGAAGAAAATCTGTTTGATCTAGGCTTTGTGACAGTTGATACTCGTCAGTAAAGTGTACCTGTAATTCTGAGGAATCGATACTCCCTGTAGGATTTGAGGCAGCGTCATCCAACGTCATAGACGTTACTAATTAATAGTCAGCCTCATCGTACAGTGGGAATCTGGGTTCAGAAAGGTCTGAATGCAATAAAAGTTCTCAGTTCCATCAAGATTACTGGTAAGCTTTAATGGTGGCTAATACTAGTTGACCGAGGTTAGGACTAACACCAGATACCTGATATCTCAACATAGTCAATGAGATGTTAATCCATTCAGGCTACTGACTATAATGTAACTTAATAGACAGAATTTAATCCTTAATGATCAGTTAATTGTGAATTTTCATTATCTATACGAGCTGAAAGATGGATAATATTCTTCAAAATAATTTTCTTACTTGTAACAATTTGCTCGCTTAATCTCTATTATCATTGTTAAGAGCACTTCTTTAATCAGAGATGGATAGTGGCTAGCAGTGAAATCCAAGATGTGCGTTTCGTCCTATTCGGGACTTGTCAGCTGGATGTACCTGTGTCTCAGAGTTGATGTTCACTCTGGGACTCGAACCCAGTACCATACACTTCAAAAACCGACGCGTTATTTGCTCAGCTACTGAGTCCTGCTAGCCACCTGTTTGTGCGATGGATAACGCAATGGCGCTTGAAGAAAACGGATCTGGGTTCGAGCCTCAGAGTGAACATCAAATCACATGCAGGTACATCCAGCTGACGAGTCCCAAATAGAACGAAATGTAAGTCCAGCATTTCCCTGTTAACCACTATCCAGCTTGTGACTTCACGCAATATCAAGGCAGTCCACACAGAACGCACATACGCCAACATGAGACTGATCAATTGCAGTCCCAAATAACAATGGAAAGATACAAGTATAACAACACCAAGTGAATACAGGTCTTTAATTTCTTAAACGTCAGGGTATTCAAGTGAACTATAATCATTTCACGTTTTATCATCTCTCGATTTTCGTAGAGTATTTCAGTAATCAAGAATATTCAATTGAATAAATCTGATGAATAAGAAGAGTGGGATCTAAGCTTTATGATTAAATGGTAAGCTAGAAACTGGTTGTGAATCACTGCTGAACTTGTTGCAGCCTGTTCTTATCATGTATAATCAATCTATCAGTACCATAAACATTTGGTCTCAAAGCAACTACGTACAGTTATATTCAAATATCATGCTCTAGTTTCTCAAGATCCATTTGAGTAAAATATTAAAGATTATAGGGCTGTGGAGATTAATAAGTTTTGATCGAGATCATGAACCGATTGATGTTAGATCACCATTGAAAACCTAGAAGCACCAGAAGGCCATTTCGTCATATTGTGGGACTCGTCAACAATGCTTATCCACAACCCCGCACATAGAATTTGATCCCTGGAACCCAATACCTTTCCCCTTAGCTACTAAGATCAGTTGACTATTCACTTGTGCAACAAGTATGAATTTCAATTTAGCTCGTAATAATTTGCGATTATCCCATTGTTGATATCTTCGGCGGAAATTAGATGAATTTTAGAACGAAAGGTATTAGGGCTTGAATTCTGGAATGTACATCAACTTCGGGACATAAGTACACCCAGTTGGTGAATCCCAAACAGGACGAAACATACATTCTACATTTTATCTTTTCCATACAAATCATAATATTTGTATACATAATAACTAATAATCATGTGTATACACTATACTTTGATGCATACCGCTAAACATTTACATATAAGTAATATGATTGTATAAACCATAGAGATTAGAAGAGAAAATACACTAAACCTAAAACAGATAACCAAGGCAACAAAGTATGTGTATACCTGTGTATACTATGCATATAATGTTATCATCATATGATGTTAATGATGAAAATGATTCAATTTTCAGATAGATTACTCAAAAACGAAACATTAAATTACATAACTCTTAGTTTTGTGCTTATAATTTAAATGAATGTAGGTTTTCATTGAATTTGTATCAGTAATATATATATACTGTTATTATAATAGAGTATAATAAGATAGTTGAATTAGAAATTTCATATCTTGAATTGATTTCAATTAGCTAATTACTGAACAGTTGTTTTATTCTCATAACTGACTCAACAGTGAGGAAGTTTGAGAGATGACTGTTCGAGTTCTAATGAGAAGTCATGATCAATGGAGTTCAATCATGTTCAATGTCAGAAAAATATCACCAATGCCAATGGAGGGGGTCGAATAATATGATGAATTAGTTCAAATTAGTGTATAATATTCGGTGGCACCTCAGTGGTTAGACTTCAGGTAGAAGCGAAGTATTCGATTATGTCGTTCAGAAGAACGACGAAACCTCCACGACTAAACCATCTAACTTAGAGAACAAAACTCCATCAAAACCATCCACCTGAGCTACAAATCTTCTTCACCATCTTAAATAACCAGCTTCGCTAGGTCCATGAATTATGTAAATTCTTCCTAGTCGTAAAAATGTACAATACTCGCTAACTACTGTACACTATAAATCATTGTTAAAATGTAAATATATTGCATATTAGCATTGGATGAAACTTAAATTTGTCTCACATAGTTGTGTTGCTCATTTATTTAAACACATAAATATTGGTACAAGAAGGCACAAAAAAGATATGCGTCACATAAATCATTCAACTTATGTGAGCAGGTGATTTTCTTAGGGGGAAGTAACATTCGGAGCCTTCGACATAAAGGTCTAATCCACCAGGTAGTTAAGCATTATAATGAGATGCAGTCCCATGGTAACCAGTGACCAACAATTGGTGCATACGTCATTTGTTTATTCAGGATCCTGAAGCCAATGTGGTTTGGAATCATGGTTTCCTAACTCACGTAGATGAATCCTCTGTGTCCACCATCCCGGTTTAAGCGACTTACATCCACTTTCTGTCCTCTTAATTTCATAAACAACACCCCGCCACGAGAAGGCAGTAAGTAGGAATTCTTTGGCAGTGGCTGTATACGATGATCATGTGAGAGCATTTGAAGAGGGAGAGCTAACTCTCCTTACACTTAACCGTACCAAAGCAATAGTCGAAAAATTCTACACCCAACTGAATTTGTTGTTCAAGATTAAGTTTTATATACATCATTATTCTATATCACTTCAAGATACCATTTTGAAATAGCAATCTTAATACAATGTAAAGTTTGGATATGCTTGATATGCATGAGTGAATAGTCTTGACGTATGTCTATTACAGTTATCTTTTGATTGTAACATATGTTTTTGATCCATTTTGAAGTAGTAAAAAAAACGTCGGAATTCCAACTATCAGACTCTTATTCAACGATCTAAAGAATAATACAATAAATCTTGTATTTGATCTTAGTTATAGCTGGCAATTTATATCGGTGACAACTACTATCGTATAATCAAATAGATCAATCTGTAATGAAGAAAAGACTTTAACAAGGAAGGAACTGTCATTGACGAACATATCAGATTTCATTATATCAGCGAATTAAATTTTGAACAATGAGAAATCGATGAGACTATAATTTATGAACGAACCAATCAGATTTAGAATAATAGGTCTGGGATTTTGGCGCGAAATTCATTCATTTATTTGATTAAATAGAGTTTTGGCATTTTAATTGATGTCAGTTCTTGATGAAGATTCTAACATTAAGCATTAACTGTTTATTATAATCCTTATTCTTCATACAGGTTTATAACCCTCATTACATTCTAGTTACTAGGTGGACATTCGGAATGTCACTAAGGCATCGTTCAAAGCGTGATCCATAAATGAAAGTCTCATCATTTAAAAAAGAGAAAAAAAAACATGAATTCAATTTCATTTACAACTTACACAAAGAATAATATTCCATTTGGTTCATAAGTAGAAAATTTAATTTCAAATGATCTATATAATTCAAAATTCCATGTATCAAATCGTACAATTGAATCATCTGTACCCATAAATGTAATTGGTACTGGTATACGTGAAAATTCTGATTCTAATGATGTAAAACGTTTATTTGATGAAGTTGGTCCAATAATAAGTTGAGCTTTAGGTAAACGAAATCTAACATCTGTAATACCAGTTGGTTGAATAGAATCTTTCCAATTAGGATCAATTAATACATTTAAAAGATTAACATCTTTATCACCTTTTCTTGTTATTTCAGCCTAGATTTAAGGAATTGATAGGTTGATAAGATGTAAATGAAGATAGAAAGTAATAAAAAAAATCAATAAGTGATTGTTAATTCAATAATTATTTGACAGTGGAAAAGTTCAAAAAGCCAATACAAGCAAAACTAGTGACTATTTGGACTCAGTAGCTAAGTGGATAACTCGATGGTGTTTGAAGTGAATGGTATCAAGTTTGGTTCCTGGAGTAATTGTTAACTTTGGGATGGTGGTGTATTCAGCTGACGAGTACCAAAACGGATGAAACTTGCATCCTGAATTGCTAACGTCCATGAGAAACCATGGAAAACTTGGTAGCGCTAGATGGCCGGCTCAGTGGTCTAGTGGTTAAGTGCTCGCGCGCAAGACTGATAGTTGCTGGGTTCGAATCTCGCGAGGTGGGACTGTAAATACGCACTGCTGAAGAGTCCCATACTAGGATGAAACGGCCGTCCAGTGCTTTCAGGTTTCCTATGGTGATCTAGCTTCAATTCACTCATGGATTCAACTATTAAAATGATGTTTATTTAGGGATCGTATATAATTGGTTAATAAAAGAAGTCATAAATATGTAGAACTTATGTAAAACTAAGAGTTTACTGTACTGGAGAATGGAACTATGGTTACTGATTGGAATTAATGATGGTGATCTAATATCTTGTGAATTGGGATTGTTGAATGTGAAATCGATAGTATGAAGATAATCCACTCAACAGGAAGATAATGAGTTTCATCCGTGACATGGTTGTGTTAACACACTTATTTAGTATTTCCATAAAACGTTAAAACAAATGTCCACTGTATTCTAGATCTGTACTAATATTTAGCAAAATTCCATTATGTAATATATATTGGAAATTGACTGAGGATAGAGATATAAGCCACTGGATACCAACTCAGTAGCTGAATGGTCATGAGTTTAACTATTAATGTGGTCGTGAATAGACAACGTTGATGACATCCATATTGGGTCCCTAATGCTTGCTGATATTAAAGGGTTATCTAACTAAAGTCGGTTCATAGTGCAAAACCTCATGTTCAAGAAAACTCTAGTCTCTTAACTTTTCAAGGTATATCATATGACGGTTATGAATGTTCTTTTCTATCTCATTCTACCAATCACAACTGTAAATGTTTTGAAACTAAACTAATTCTGTCAATCAAATATGCTATTGTAATGGATTGTAGCAATTTCTAAAGGGTAAGTTTAATATCACAGATTGATCTCAAAGAACCATTGAAAATCAAGAAGCATTAGACAACTGTTTCGTTATATTACATGGCTTCTTCCATAATCGTTGTTCTTTTACTTACTTACTCTCGTGGAGGAGCATAAGCCGCCCACCAGCATAATCGTTGTTCTTGATTCAGTCAAACCAGTAAACTTTAATTGACAACAAAATGAACTTAAGGACCATATTGTAACTTTCAATTTATTCTCTATTTAAATGAAGCTGATTGACATATCCCAGACTATCATCAAAATCAGCTCTCAAATGAAAAATAAACATTTGATTTGTATGTAACTTATTAATTCAGTCTCAATGACGTAAATCGAATGAATAGCATAATACTATGGTACAACAAGCCAATCAGATATCAGTCAAATGATAAGCATACGCGGTTGGTTCTGACAAATCTTTCTTTTCTAAAGAAAAAGATACTATTGTTGGGAAATATGGCTTACGTCTCCAAGGGACCAGTGGAGTTCCACAGAGTCTGTTGTGAGATAGTAACTCATTGAAGATAGTGGTGGATGTGTCACTCAATTTCGTGGGTTGGTTGAAGTTAAACATTAACACCGTTGGATGCCAGCTCAGTGGTCTAATGTTTAGGCGCTCGCGCGCGAGACTGATAGGTCCTGGATTTGAATCTCGCGGGGGGCGGGATAATGGATGGGCACTGCCGAGAAGTCCCATACTAGGACGAAACGGCCGTCCAGTGCTTCCAGGTTTCTTATGGTGGTCTAGCTTCAATTGACTTATGATCTCAATTATTGAAATTTATATATGTATAAGTGTATAGTTAATTCTCGATTCACTTGGTTAGAAAACAATTTCCTTCTCATCCTCAGTCTTCTCGTTCATAGCGAATGGAAACCTTATTTATCATCATTATAGTCAGATACCACTCAACACAAACCAGTTGATTGATTTTAAAAAGAGTAGTAACGTTGTAGACGCTTAGTTTGCAATACATTGCGTATGTCTAACAGAAACTTATTAAAAAAACATTCAATTCTATGTAAACAAACAACTTACCTTTGTAATACGTCCTTGGAAAGTTTTATCCACTTTGCCTTCAGTATCTTTGATTGGATCAACTGACCCGCCAAGATAAACTTTTCCATCAGTCGATACTAAAGGTGCTCGACCAGCGATTGATCTACTTGCTTGGCTACGATGATCAAGTGTAATTGTCAGCTACAGTAAACATAACAAATGCATAGAAAAAATGGAAATAAAAAAGGTTGAAATTAACTTTAAATCTTACGGGTCGAGTAACAGCTTGAAATACAAACAGTGAAGAAGATTTGTAGCTCAGGTGGATGATTTTGATGGAGTTTTGTTCTCTGAGCCAAATGGTTTGATTGTAGAGCTTTCATCGCTCTCCTGAACGACATCATCATCACAAACTTCAAGTAGAAGTCTACCTAAAGTTTGTACTTATGATGTCGTTCAGAAGAACGATGAAAGCTTTACGACCAAACCATCCAGCTTAGAGAACAATACTCCATCAAAATACAGACAGTAAAAATCTGGAATTAACTACAACTACCTTGTATAATTCAAATGTATTGAGAATACAATGGACTGAAAAATCATTACTATATCACTAATGAACTATTGAGTAGGGAAGTAGGATACCATAGATTTGTAAAGCACATAGGTAGTAAAAAATTTACATGAAGAACACTGTCGTATCTGAGGATATCAGTCATAATTAAACAATCAGTTTAATGAAACAGTATGCTAGAATGCACCCTAATCAATCAATAAATGAAGTTTGATGGGGGAGATTGTTAAGGTGTCCCAAAGTATTCGTCAGAAAAGAGTATAGGAACCCAGAAAACACTAGGGGAACATTTTACCCAATCAGCGTTGATCAGAGCATCTCAGAAACATCTCGAATGTGAAGAGTCACATGCCAGGTTTTTGATTAAATATTTCTTATGCCGCTTCTATATTTAGTATGGTTCCAGAAGCCTAATATCATTTGTAATATTATAAATACCCTAGTTTTTCCGTACATTAACTAACCTTTTCTCTTATGTTTACATCGCCGCGTAGATTTGACTTAGGGTTATTAGAATAGGCTAGGAAAACAGATCAGGCATTCGTTTAGCAAGACTTATCAGAAATAAAACTGGCAGCAGGCTGTTAATTGAAGATAACCAATTGGTTTATGAAACTGTTAATATTCATCGATTGAAATGGATATGACATATGCCAAACCATTCCCTACCTTAATAAACAATGTAGCATGGTATAGAATTCAACTGTAAGAAAGTCAAATGTGATCAAATAAAGACATGTCATCAGTTCATGAAACCATTGACTATTGAAATGAATCATACAGGTTATTTCAGACTATCATAAGGATGATACTGTTACTACATCGTTTACTCTAACATTTGCCCTGACAATTTCATGTCAGTGTGCTAATATGATGTTGGAAATAGAGTTGATGCGCACAAATGTGTCAGATTCTTCTTTTTGTATAAATGAATAACTAAGTAATTGGAAAACAGACTAGAAACATTCGCTAACAAAACGAGTTGGCCAGTTAATCAAAGACATCTCAGTAGTAATTAAACTAGGATTTATTCACATTCAATAACCAGTGTTACATTTTATGTTGCATACCTTAATGGTTCAAAGAACCTCTCTAATCAAGAGTTCCTTATAAGGGATGAGTGTATGTGTATGTGGGAGAGAGAGATAGAGAGAATCCTTCCAGTATACTTCTTGTTTGATAAGTCTCCTGTCTCGTCTTACATTTAACCTTGTTCTTATTAATCTCTGCAATAATGTATATTGTGCTTATTACTTTTCTAATACATAAGTTTGGTTCTTCATTTGTTTCTCTGTTATTTTATGATGCTTCAGTGAATATCTGAGAATGTATTTAACTTACTTGAAGTCTTTATTGAAGCCATATATTGATTTGCCATCCTTGAGTTGACTAATTTATTCGATCGGTTGTATGCAGAATATCATTCGATATTTTTCTCAGAAACAACTTTTCTAGTCGACAAGTAATCAGTTTTATATCTTATAACAATCTGTTTGTTTCATTGTAGATCAGATTGAGCAAGTTTTCCAAGAATTTCTTCTTAGTTATATAGTATGGATCCCGTATTGTTGTCATATTCGTATAGTAGAAAAGATTTATAGATCAAGTGCATGATTTTGTTGGAGGGACTTTAACCTCCCTATAATGAAGTTTTATGTAGTAAAATCAAACAACAACTACACTCAACGTCATCGTGAAGGCTCAAGGAGTTAGGTAAATGAAGATTCTCATTCATTTTATGCTTGATGTATTCGCTTTTATACATTTTGACAATCATCACTATCATCGGAATTTCTTTAAAGACAATAAGGCCCTGGGTTCGAATCCCGTGAGTATAGATCATGGATGCGCATCGCCACTGAGGAGTTCCACAATAAGGATGAAAAGCCTATCCAATGCTGCCAAGTTTTCAATGGTAGTCTAACAAATCTCCAAAACTTCATATTTATAATAATTTAATTACAATAGCATATAAATATATGTAATTAATTCCAACTTACATTATCTCGATCTCGAATAAGTTGTAAAACTTGCGGTTTTTCTGGAATTAATGATGAATTTAAAAATATCTCTTCAGTTACTGTACGTTGTGCTTTACCAGTTTGATCAGTAATTGCATATATATAATAGAGTAATGAATTCTTGAATTGTTAAATGAAAAAAATGAAAAAAAGAAATGAAATTTATAATTTCCAAATGATTTAAGGTAATTTTGAAAATAGCTTCTGTTGTCATGGTTACTGTTACCCTTTGATAGTTTCCATTCGTCTTACAATTAGAGTAATTATGCTAAACCAGGCTGGATAAAACACTAGCTCTAATATAGAAGTATAACGCGTTGCTGTCTGATGTGGAAAGTTCTTGAACTGAATGTCTGCGTGATGAACAATAATACTTGGATTGTGGTATACGTAGTTGACAAGCTCCAAATAGGACAAAGCCATCATCCTGGATTTTAATGCTACTGATAGTGCACAGTAGCATTAAAATCCAGGATGATGGCTTTGTCCTATTTGGAGCTTGTCAACTACGTATACCACGATCCAAGTATTATTGTTCATCACGCAGACATTCAGTTCAAGAACTTTCCACATCAGACAGAAACGCGTTATACATCTAAATATGGCCATTAAGAGTAGAAGATACCCGTAAGTTACTAGTATTTGACCACAGATGCTAGATGCTAGCATCTGCTGAAATCACCGGGTAAGTAATAATGAGGTTAGACGTAGGGTATTAGGGAATGATGATGGTGAATTAGTTGATGAGATTGTAAATCTTTACCGAATGAAATGGTTAAGTCACGTGTTGCGTATGTCTGAACACCGAATACCACAACGTGCAATGCTGACTAGTGTTTGGGATGGTTAGAAGAAAGTTAGGGGTGGCTAAACCAAAACGTGACATCAGTCCATAAAGTCACTAACTTCTAGTCTGAACCATGTCGGTAGATGCAGACTACTCGGTTGGGTTCCGCGTGACTATCGAAACCAATGGTTGAAGACTCTGGATGACATGGCTGAGAATCGATCACAATGACGTCAGTGTATATACTCTCTGTCTTCCCTTAAGCTGTGAGACTAAAACTGCTTTATATCTTTCTTTCTACGAAGTAATTCTTTCTTCCTGTACTATATACAATCTTTCTTTTATGTGCTACCATCACTGAATGAACTACTTTTATGAATCCGGTGTTCATCTTGTTGTGCTAATGAGTGAGATATGGTAACTTGGACCGATGTACATATGTGCCCAGTTTAACGTTGTAGCTGACTGACTGAGATTTTTTCGTATATTACTGTAATTCAACATAATTATCTGTGTATATTCACTATATTTTCCTCTAGAAGACAGTACGTATTTACTATTCTTGCAGTAACAGTCATCAAGTGTTCGAATTTCAAATACTAGAAAACATCAATTTACACTTATCCTGACTAAAGATTTACTTAGACACTGGCTAGATAAAATAAGGAGAATTGTTCAAATATTAATAACTTAATAGTGAACAGTATCATGTTCGACCAGTCCTCAGTGCCGGATGACTCAATTTTAAATCCACCAAGGAGCATTACTTTGATCAATCTGGGCCATATTTGGTGCCTTTGTGATGTTAGTCTGGCTGTAAAATTTCGGATTTATAACGCGTCGGTGAGAGCAGTTTTGCCCTATGCTTTTGAAACCAAACCTTATCGAGTTCAGGATGTTTGGCGACTCTCTGTGTTCGATGATTGTTGTCTCCGAAGGATTGCTGACATTCATTGACAACACCATGTTAGTAATGTAGAGATTCGGCATCGTGTGTTCTGGCACAGAAGCGAAAATTTAATTGTTGTTATCATTTTGAAACACCTAGTTCGTTGTCTTGGACACATCTAAAAAATGTCGTCCCAAAGGATTCCACGCTGAGATTGGTTGGAAAAAGTGGAGAGCTGGTCAGCGTATGACATGGTGTCGTGGTATGAAAAAAAGCTGTACATGACTGGCTTCTATCGGTCCTTCACGAACCCCTAGTTGAGGTCCTGCGGATAGTGCAATCCAGTAGCTTGAGACGTTGTCGGACATGACTCAAAATAGATGCCAGTGGTGATCCTGTCATACCTTTAACTTTCTTCATAGAAATGAACATAACTTCTTTAACTGTAAGAATTCTTCCTGGATGTATTTCTCTCTCCCATACACTAATTTCTGTTCGTTGCTTTTCTTCTTTTTATTATACACACTTTACATTCTCTATCTCTTCACAACCTCATTGTTTCTGTGTGGCGCATATTTATCTGGTGCCCCCCATGTACCAATATCTATATATTCAAATAAATAAATAAATAAATCCTACAGGAAGTAGTTTGAATATCTCAATGATAACATTTAAAACGGTAAAACTAACTGACCTAAGTTCGAATCCATTTAAGATTATTAATTCCATCAAAATTACAGAGAATCAATACTAATAAGTATCAATTGGATTGAAACTTAAGTCCCACAATCTCCTGAATTATGTTTTCTGGTTAGCGTTTTTTTTCACCAAGTTAGTTTTCCACAGGATGGAGTCATTAACCCCATATCCTACCCTCCTTCTTTATCCCGACTTGGAGTAGGCAATAGCCCATGAGGGGCTCTCCTACAAACTCTAACATCAATTACTTAAATAAACCTTTAAACGTACTTACTTACCTTTATATATACATAACTTTTTGATTGATCACTTTCACTAAACCATAATAAACCCGATGTAACACCAAATGGTAATGTAAAATTAATTGTTAATACTTCTTCTTCAACAGTTCTTTGTAAACGATTCATAAAATCATAACGTACAAAACTTCCTTCAGGGAAATTCACTGATGATATATATTTAATTGGATTAGTTGGTATTTGATCTAAGACATTCATTAAATCTTTTGGTTTACGATATTTCACTATATCAGATGATTCAATATAGAAATTATTTATAGCATAATTAATAATTGATTGATTAGTATTCATTTGTAATTGAGTAGCATGTCCAAATAATAAACCAATAAATTGTTTGAATGATTCCATTTTATCCATAGTAACTATTGGTATCCATGGATATTCATGATTATCATTGGAAATATTATTAGATTTATATTGTCGATTATTATTCTTAACAATGAGATAATTATTATTTAAATTAATTGTTGTTTCTATAATATTCCATTGATTTATTGTTAATGGAATGATAATATTGGATATTGATTTATTGGATAATTGATTCCAATTAATAATTAATAAATGATCAGTGAAAATATAAAATTCAAGTAACCATGGTATTTTTTCTTGATTAATAAAATATGAAGCTATAAAGCTAAGGATGTGAGTTTTAGAATTTGGTATCGTTTGTTCAGGTAATAAACCAAATCGAATAGTAAATTCACCTATATAATGAATGAATGTAATGAATAATAATAATAATAATAATAATAATAATAATAATAATAATAATGAATGGGATATTAAAATATCAAGATGAGATTGTTGAATTTATGATTAAAATCATTAAAAACCTGGAAGAATTCGACAGTTGTTTCGTCCTAGTATGGGACTTTTCAATAGTAGTGCACATCTACGATCCCATGTGCAAATCTAAGACCCAGAACATTCGGTCTTGCACGTGAACGTTTAACTTTTTAAACAGTGAGCTGGTATTCAACGGTGTTAATATCTAACTTCAACCAATCTATGACATTGCGGGATTGTGGATATGTACTGCTGAAAAGTTTCATAATGAGACAAAATGGATTTCTGTCTCAAAAGTAAACTGTCTATGTCATTATTGATATTTCTCAAAGATGATACATTCCAGCATTATTCATTATGACAAAAACAGCAGATGTGTATCTGAGTGAATCTATGAGTAAAATATTTTTATCATTAATAGTATAAAATAATCTTCATGTGATATTCAATTGAGTTCTCGCCTCATGTAACACAATTTTAGTCTATGTTCATTGTATCCGACCGTTTATGACTTACGCTGATATTCCTCCCACAGATGGATATTGATATTGACTGAGAGGTCTTTAAACTAATCTCTAAGAGAACTAATATTTAATAGAACTAATCGGCCGAAGTCAGTTGATTAGAATGAAGTAACGTGATAATATTCAAGTACATACAACGTCAAGCCATTCAACCAAATGTATTCAATGTAAACTATGGTTAAAGCATCTTATCTGTTTCTTAATATACAAAAATACATGTACACTCACACACACATGCAATATAAATGTCTACAATTACCTGAGACACATGCTGTTAAATTCCATGGACAACCAAATGTATTGAACTGATTCAATAGTTCATTCGTTTGTTCCAATATGGCAGGAGTTAAAAGCAATCCACTCACTGGTTCAGCTGGAAATTCAATACTTGTCGGTAATCCATTAGGATCAATATTTAAGTAGGGTGAACCAATCACAGATTTAGCTATGAGTTGATGATGATGATTTTGTAAATTATTCGTATTTAATAGAACATGCGCCAATTGATTTCCGTCAACTAGTCGTATCTTGTCATTAAGCAAATTGTTGGCAACTAATTTGATTTAAAAGAGAATAGATTATATATATTACATAATATACTTATCGATTGAGATACTGAAACATTCAAGACATAGTTCGTTTTCAAATGAAAAAGATTATTTTAATGAATTTAGAGATTGTGAAGTTTAATCAACTCAAGTTAGACAACCATTGAAAACCTGGAAGCTTCGAAAGAATGTTCCATCTTAGTATTATACCTCTCAGCTCTACTTTCCAATAAGCCTTTGGACAGGGGTCGAACCCAGGGCCTTACGTCTCATATGTGAACGCAGAATCGCTAAACCACTAAATCAAGATTGAATTGTGTGTAAGCATAACTTCAATCGATTCGTGATATTGTACGACCATCTTTCAGTTCTTCCAAGTTTTCAATGGTTCTCTAGCCTAGGTCTGTTCGTTATGATGATAAAATGAAATTTGTTTATAGAACAGTCTTCATACAATCAAGAAAACGTATCAGTATATGGTTGTAGAGATTATTGAATTTCATTGAAATCCTGAACCAATCAGTGCTAGTTCACTATTGAAAACTTGGATGTATTGGACCAATTATTCATTCTCGTGTGAGACTATTCAGCAGTGCATATAGACGATCAATCGTTGAGTTAATAACGTAATGTTAATGTGTTCATCAAAGAGACTGGAATTTCCAATTTTGATGCTAATGAAGGTGAAGTGTAATTATCTCGCCACTAGTCAAACAGTGCAAAAATCACCTCTATTGAATTCTTGATGGATTAACTTCGAGTACCAACTGATGTTACACAGTGTTCAAAACTAAAACATTTAACAAGCGAATTCAGGCATATGGAGTTCAATCGAGCCCCTCAAACAATATAACTGATAATACTACCACCCAAAGACAACTGTACTTAATCCGCCCCAAATTGAATCTCACAAGATTTATGTAATTTATGAATGACCTTTAAGTAACTCCAGAATAACTTTGATAAAGTCACCTACCTACTAAGGTCAAAAGTGGCTTAGAAATTAGTGCGTCAAATTATGATTAAAATTTAGAACTAGAAGTTATGGTTAAAAATTTGATTTAGGATTTTCATCACGAATTGACATCAGTTATTTGATTATACAAATGAATAAATTTCTCGCCAAAATCGAAGTCTTTTAATCGCATGCGAAACCGAACGTCCTGGATCCGAATCAAGAGCGCAAGATCGTAGATGCACACCGCTGAAGACTCCCGTACTAGGACAAAAAGGCCATTCAGCGCTTCCAGGTTTTCAATGCTAATCTAACATCAATTAGTTTATGATCTCAATAAAAATTCAACAATCTTCACAACCCTATACTGACATATTAAATCTGTCTAAATTATTCATAAACTATGATCTCACTTATTTCGTCAATCAGTTTTCCTTCTAACTATTTATTTGTAATTATCTTATGAATTTTCCCATCCTTATCAGAAAGCTTAAATAATTACTGATAATTATCGATTTTAGAAACAATGGTTATAGTAATCAATCAATCAATCAGTCAATCGATCGATTGATCAGTCGATAAAATATTTAAATCAGAAATAACGTTAGAGATTGTGCATGAAGAAGATAATCCTGTTGATTAGACCAATTCGTTATTTGCCTTTAATAAAAGACCAATCAAAATTCAGTACTTACAGAAATAAATACGTGGGTGTGTCTTCGATAAAATGACCTTCGAATATTGGCCAATCAACTTACTTGCCAAAATTGGTCATTTATTCAGCTCACTAATATATATATATATTCGTGTTTTGACTGGTATGATGAATGGATGAGTGTTAGACCACCAGTGGGGACCAGGAAGCACTGAGCGGGCGCTTCATTCTAGTGTAGGACACTTCAGTGACACTGCACATCCACGATCTCATACATGGCTTTCGAACCCAGGACTCTCGAGCTCACGTGCGAACGCTCAACATGTAAACCACTGAACTGTTATCCAACGGTGTTATTGTCTAACTTCATTATTAATTGAAAAACAACTGTGAATGATGAAAATTACTGTGAACAAAGTTATTCTATCTATGGACGGAACACTTCGATGATCAGACAATAATTAATATTAACGAGATGTTGAGTGTACAATGGTTATATTTAGTCTCATCTAAGATTCAGATACTTATGATAACTGACATTTGAAAGATCTTCACATTGTTATTTAGAACAACATATATAAGCGATTAGTGGATTCGTTGAAGTTAGACATTAACACCGTTGAATGTTGGCTTAGTGATCCAGGAATTAAGTGCTCGCGCTGGCGACTGATAAATCCTGGGTTGGAACGTCGCGGGGCGGGATCGTTGGTGCTCACCGCTGAGGAGTCTCACATTGGGACGAAACGGTCGTCCAGTGGTTGTAGGTTTTCCATGGTGAGCTTGTTTCAATTAACTCATAATTTCAACTATTAAAATTAATGTATAAGCGAGCAATATTGTTTTCGATTGGATCCTCATTATGCTTTACTCTAATATACAGTAATGTATTTATATGCATATACGAAGTGATTTAAACCAATCAAGGTAGTTTATCAGTCAATGATAACAGTGGACTAGATTACAGAAATAAGTGTAAAGTAAAGATTGCCAGTGTGATGATAGCTGTACTCCATGCTCTCTCTTCGTTTTTATTTTTCTCCACCCCTTCCTACCATTTTGGTTTATTTTCTCTCAAATATACGTTTCATTGTCTAATTATCTGAACACTTCTTATTACGTAACCTTGTACTTTTTATGGATGTCTCTATTTTTTTCTAATCATTGACCCTATTTCCAATTGTGTAACATTGATTCAAACCTTTATGATTCTTATCACAACTAGTACACTTGTCATCACACTACTAATTTGTATTTTTCACTTTGTTATGTAATCTATTTCACTGTTATCATTACTGACTCATATATGCATATAAATATGACTGTAAATTGAAGTGAAACAATGAACGTTTTCTTCGCTCTTCTAGTTAATCTATTATGTAGCATATCACTAATTAAACCTCCATTGAATTGCAGCTTCATGAAGAGAGGTTTCCTGCGAACTGTTAATGTTTAGTTATGTAATTTATTTCATTATTATTATCTTTGACTCATAAAATGCATAGAAATATGATTGTATATTAGAGTACATGCTGGTGAGCGGCCTATGCTCCTTCACGAGGAGTAACAGGTGTAACCTGAACCTGACCTAACCTGATATTAGAGTACAGTCTAATAACGATCTAATCGAAAACAATATTGTTAAGTAACACTTACAGAATAACTAAGATTCTGATAAGAACTTTAATACAATCAATAATTTTCTATTTCTATAACAGATTTTTTTTAAATGAATGTCTCACATAGTAACAACTATTCATAATGTACATTGAGTTCTAACTCTTACCAACTAATTTATAATCTTTTAAGTATAATTACATAGTAGTATTTATCATTTTTAAATGTTTTTTACCCCCCCCCACTTCTAAATGATACATCATTAACCTAATAATAATAAGAAAATAAGAAAAAAAAAGAAAGAGAAAAGAAAAAAGAAAGAAAGGCTTTATGAAAGAAAACTATGCAGAAACTAATTAATAATCATTATTTATTTTATATTGATGTTTATGATTGAATATGGAATAGTTTCTATGTGACATTGTCAAATAGTTACATTCTATCACTATTATTATTATTATTATTATTATTATTATTATTGATCACATTATTACATCAACACATTCCAATAGAGAATAACAAAAACAAAAACAAAAAAAGAGTTACCTTAGATCAACAATATTGAACTATTTAAGAAAACCTTTTTTGGTACACATACCGATATGGATAAGAAGATGGATAGTCAATTGGTTGGTTAGTTAGTAACTTAGTTAAAAAAATATGAGATATATCAAGAATGATGATTATAAAGTACAATCATTGAATTCCATTTTTGTTTTGTTTTTTAGTTTGAAGAAAAGAAATCACTTTTATGAACAAAAAACAAAACAAAATACTTTAAGTCTGTTCCACTTTTATTGAACTAATTATTTATCTACATTGTTACTAAGGTGAAATTTCTTATGATAAACAACAACCACAACAACAACAAAATATTTGACAAATATTATTACTAACTAGTTATAAGAATTTCTTTAAATAATAAATAGAAGTACAATATGAAATTGGCATTTGATCAGTTATGTGTATGTATGTATGTGTGTAGATAAAAAGTTTGAAGTACATTAACTTTCTCTCTTTCATATACACACACACACAAATATGCACATACACACGCACATATATAAACAACAAATATAATTCTCGAGTTCATCTTGTTGATAAGGACAATTGTATTAAAATTGTACTCTGAACATCAAAAAACTTAATCAATACTTATATATTTGTATACATAAAGAAAAAAAACAGAGAAGAAGAAAAAACAATAATCGATTTTGTGCATGTGTGTGTGCGTGTGTGTGTGTGTAAGTGATCAAATATTTATTGATTATTTTCGGCAATATAAGTAATCATTAAGTAATTTTTAACAATGAAACATTTATAATTTAATGAATAAATTTTTTTGAGTCCACGAAATTGCGCCACCGTTCACCATTGTCTTCAGTGAGTTCTTGTCTCACAACAGACCTGGTTAAACTCCACTGGTAACGACTTCTCATTAGAACTCCAGGAGTGTCTCCTGAAGTCAGTCACTAGTGAGCAGTTAATTATTTCTTAGTGTTAATTTATAATTATTTTATTAGTTAAGATTATGAGTTAATTGAAACTAGACTATTGAGGAAAACTTGAAAGCACTGGATGGCTGTTTCGTCCTAGTATGGAACTCCTGACGGATGAAAATGTTGGATGTGTCGCTCAATTTCATGGATTAATTGAAATTATACATTGACATTATTGGATGCCGGCCAGCTCAGTGGTCTAGAGATTAGGCATTCGCGCACGAGACTAATAGGTTCTGAGTTCGAATCTTGTGAGGCGGGATCATGGATACCCACTGCCAC